TCATCATTCACTCACTCACTCGCTTCTTTTCCTCCTCTTCCCCTTCCCAGGCCGGGAGTAGAGTTACTCCCGTCCCTGAACCCTCCTAACCCAATCATCACCCAACTTGCCGGCTCTCACATCAACCACAACAACTCCCCTCCCCCGTCCCACACGCTCTTCCTTCTGCCACCACTTGACTTCCTCGTCCTTCTTCTTCTCCTTCTCGCCGTTCTTCTCCGTGTCATCGTCCTCAGAGTCTGAGTCAGCAAGACCGCCGTCTCCCTGCTCAGCACCAACCACCAAGACAATATCGTGCCTTAGCCAGGTCTGGAGGGAAGTGATCACGCTTCCATCCGGGCCTGCAAGGGATTCCTGAAGGTAGATGATTTCGGGCTGGATGTGACGGAGGATGTGGGAGTGGCCGGCGGGAGTGGAGAAGGTCAGGATGTGAGAGGGCTTGGAGACGAGAGTGGTGGCTTGGTTGTAGAGGGAGGTGTAGGCGGAGTTGGCACTGGAATAAAAGTTAGTTGTGGTCGAAACAGGACAAAACGAAACAAAACAAAGTGGAGATGAAGGACCAGAAGACTTACAGAGGGTCCTTGTCTTTGCTCTCGGCGGGTGTCTCGGCGGGAGTCTCGGCTTCGATGTTGGAGAAGGAAGAGCTTAGCGAGGCAGGCTTCGAGGAGTCTTCGGACTTGTTGTCCTTGAGCTGAGGAGCGTAGATCAGGATGTAAAGCTTGGTCAGGGAGAGGTCGATATTACGGGGGATGTGGGAGAGGATGGACTAGTACACGTCTGAGTTAGCACTTTCTGTTATAGGCCATTCGAACAACGGGCACTTACAGCATGCTCATGGTATTCCTCATCACCAGCTTCCACGTGGTTATCGGCCGAGACAATAATGGCAACCTTCTTCCGGCGTTGGTTCTTGTTGGAGGTGGCAGTAGTGGCAGTGGTAGTAGTAGCGGAAGCGGTAACCGGGGCAGTAACAGTGGTAGGTTGAACAACGGGAGTATCATTTCTGGAAGAGGTAGTAGCATTCTCAACCTGTTTTTTCGTATCCGGGTCGGACCACGTCTCGTCGTCAGCAAACTCGCTCCTCAGGCTGTCTTCCTCGCGGATGGCGGAAAGGGCGGTACCCACAGCTGCGCCCGCTGCAGTCACGCCGGCGGCGACCTGTCGCTTCGCGGTGTTGAAGAAGTCGGCCGGACTCGGGGTGCGTCGGAGGCCCCATCCTCCTCCTCCTTCGGCCTGTTGTTGTGCTTGGGCGTTGGGGGAACGGGCTGGCGGCTTGAGACGACCCTCGCCGGTGGCTCCGTAGGCCGGGTTGTCGCCGTAGTCGGCGTTCTCGTAGTCGAGGTCCTGGAGGGTCGAGTTGGTCTCGTGTTCCTCGCTCTGGTCCTTGCGCTGGCTCCAGATCCATGCTGCGACACTGACGGTAGCAACGGCGGCCGTTACAACCAATGGCACCCAAGTACCTAGAGCGCCATTACGGCGTCTGTTGTCGGACATTATAGCGATCGGAGTGGCGACGATGTTCTTGTTCTATGTATGTCGGTTGGCTTAGATGGACGCTATCATGGCAATGTCGCGAGCGGTGTCGAGCTATCGGGTATCGAGAACCGTTTCGCTTTCGTCTTTCGTCTCAACTCTCGTCGCAGGCACACTCCGGTCGAACAAACAAGAAGATGAAGACCGAGGATGTTTGCGACAGGTGAGGAGAAAGTGTAGCCGCGCGAAGACGGAAATGTTGTGGCTGGTCGCTAGCAAGTTACCGAATAGCGGCCCACTGACAGACCATAGGGCGGAGTCTATCGCGTATGGGGGAGCAGATGACTGGGGGAGAGGTAGGGGTCGTCGACTGGGCGAGCTGGGGTCCTGGGGAAGTGGATGCCTTCTTCTTCAGCTACACAGTTGAGGATGTCCTAACGAGACACAGAAGGCTGGAGACGTTGAGCGGGTCAAGCCAACGAGGACCAAGAGTTCAGCTCGAAGAGAGGACCTCATGACGCCGTTAAAGTCAACCGAGGCTGATGGTTGGTTAGATAAGTCCAAAAGCTGAACGTCGCTGCCCGGACTTTAGCGAAAGAACAGAGCCTCCATTGGCGGTGATTAAAAGTTAATTGCAACCGCAATGTCCGCCAAGCCACTACACGCGCACTTGCCCGCATTCGTACCGGCAGTGAAGATCAGGGCGTGTCTCCAGTGATGTTCTTGTTGCACGCCCTCTGTTTTTGTCTGAACTCTGAAGTCTGAACTGCCCTGTAAGAGCGCACAGACCACCTCATCATGCCCCTCCATCAGTGAGAGCTTTCACTTTCATTCATTGAGACTTTGTGATTGTGAGTCAAGAAATCGATATTCGAACAAGACAATTCACCACTTTTACAAATATCGACGATAAAGAAACAGCACGCGTACGCGCTTCTATACCACGCAGCGCCGTTGTTTCTTCGTCGACGTAGATACCCGACATCAGAATACCGGTGTCACCACTTTGCGCAAAATAATATCGACGTCGACAACCAGTTCCTCTCAAAGCAGTCTTCAAGATGCCCCACGCTGTAACTATCGCGACTCCGGGCCTCCAGGCCTTGATCCTGTGCGGTCCTGGCAGCTCGTTTCCCACTTTCACCGCCAACCCAGATGAGAACCCGAAGGCTCTCCTACCAATCGCCAACAGACCCATGGTCTGGTACCCTCTCGACTTTTGCTACCGTGCCGGCATCACAAGTAGGTCACGTCTTGTTCGAGGTCATGGTGTTGAGTGAGATTTGATATCACATGTCTTGGCATACACTACCCTTATGGTCCATATACAATCTTACTAACATATCCAGACATCACCCTCATCTGCCCGCCCACGGCCCAGGAAGCCATCCAGACTGCCCTCAACACAAACCCCTTCCTCACCAGCCTACCATACCCCAGGCCCGACCTCCTAGCGCCCAAGGACCTCGACCAGAACACCGGTACAGCAGAGATCCTCCGTCTTCCCGAAGTCCAGTCAACAGTAACCTCCGACTTCCTCGTTCTGCCCTGCGACTTGGTATGTGAGCTCGGCGCCGACAAGCTCCTTCAAGCATGGATGGTCAAGTCCGCCAGCCTCACAGACCTCCTTGATGACACCCGATCCGAGAATGGTCCTCTCAAGCGCAGCGGTGGTCTCGGTGTATGGTATCAGACCAAGACTGCCACCCCCATCAAGGGCGAGGAGACCGATTTCCTGGCCACCGTTCCTCTACCATCTTCCTCGGTCCAGCCCCCCAAGGGATCTCTATTTCCCAACATCTCCAAGGTCGTCTATTCGACACCTACCGATTCATTGAAGGATCTCCTCGAAGAGCAGAAAGGCTTGGACATACGCCATGCCCTTCTCAACAAACACCCCCGCGTGCGCATGCTGACCACCCACCGCGACGCCCATATCTACATCTTCCCCCACTGGATCATGGACTTCGTCAAGGAGAACGACCGCTTGGAGACCATCGGCGAGGACGTCCTGGGTTGGTGGGCTAAGGCCGGCTGGCAAAAGGGTCTTTCCACCAAGCTCGGTCTCGACATCATCCTTGGCCAGACTTCCACCACCGCCCCCAATACCGACGGCAAGACTTCCCCCTCCGGCTCCCACACCCCCAAGGAATCGTCCACCGCCCACCTGCCCACCGGTTTGCAGATCCATGACGCCGTGTCCGCCTCCGGTGCTGCCAACCTCGAAGGCCCCGTTTGCCCCGTCATCCGTACCGGCGACAAGCCCAAACCCGAGGAGACTCCTCTCCACGAGGCTGAAGCTAACGAGAGCGCTGACATCCCGCCCATGCTCGCCTACATTCACCCTTCCTCCGCTGCTCCGTCTCCCTTGATCCGTCGTGTCGACACCGCCCAGCTCCTGCTGCAAATTTCTCTGCAACTCGCCAAGCTGCCCTCGATCGAAGAAGTCGGTTCCGCCGAGGTCGCTTCCCCCTTCGCGCACATGCGCAAGGTCGCCTACCCAGAGGGCGTCAAGCCGCGCACGACCATCACCAAGGCGGACTCGCTGGTTGCCGATAACGTGACCGTCCAAGAAAAGACGAGCATCAAGGAGTGTGTCATTGGTGCCAACTGCCAGATTGGCGAGGGCGCCAAGTTGTCGCAGTGTCTGCTGATGGACGGCGTGGTGGTGGGCAAGCACTGCAAGCTTACCAAGTGTATTCTTGGCAAGAGAAGTGAGGTTGGCGAGGGCTGCACTTTGACGGAGTGTGAGGTGCAGGAGAACTTGTTGGTTGAGGCTAGGAGTAAGTCATCTTTTTTATTTTTCCACATATTTACCCATGTCTAGAAAGTTACTGACGCGAACGAAAAACAGCGGAATCAAAGAACGAGAAATTCATGTCCTCCTCCGGCCTTGAAGCCACCGAGGAAGACCTCAAGGACTCCGACGATGATGAGGGCAGCGATGACGGTAACAACGACAATGATGACGAGGATGAGGAGGATGATGAGTCGGCGGAGGAATAGGATATCCTTTCTGCTCCATCGACTCCGAAAAGTCACCGGTTTCCCGGGCAGCAGCAGCAGACCGGCGGGCCGCAACAGCAGTATCAGGATGCTCAGCTGCAGTCTCAGGAGCAAGCTCAGCAGCAAACGAGGTCTAGAAAGGGAAGCTGGCTTAGTCGGTTGTCGGGATCTGGAGGAGGGGATGAGTGATGAGTGTCAGGTAGCAAGTGGCATAGTTGGGTTGCCTGGGAATGGTTAGGACTGTTTGGTTGAGTTGGTTGTTTGAGTACATACACACATACCCTTTAGAGGTTGGTTCTAGGTTCTAGGTTATCCCAAAAGTTCTTCATTTGCATACAGAAACATCGCCCAAGTGGACGGGCACAATGCATTGGGTTATTGCTATCAAAGCCTCATTTGTTCAGTCACCGGGAAGGCATCGCTAAGGTCATATATCAAGGTACTCGAAGAGTTGAATTGAAGTAGTTTGTAGCTGCTTCTATACCACATCCATAGTTCACCAGAATGACAGGTATGACATGGCAACTGGAGTTGAACGATATGGCCGCACTTTAATTCGCTGAGTTGTAGGGTCTGAGAGGACTATAATTCCCTGGTCTTCTTGTGTGTTTGAGTTTGCACTTCTTTTTTTCTAACGTCTAGCGGGAACTTAGCTCTAAAAGGATAGTTACTGGTTTTTTTATTATTTAGCGAGGAGCGTGCCTCGGAGGTCACGAAGGAAACATGTTCATGGAACGTTTTAAGTATTTGTTGCTGTTACCCAACTACCAACCACCTTATACAACATGTTAGTCCCATCAATATTTACTTTTTCCTTAGCTTTACCTAATCTCTGAATAACAATTTCTTGGCAACTTCACCGCTCCATTTCACACAGAGTCAGTTTAGTCACGACGAAAATCGAGAAGCCAGACAGAGGTGATTTGTGAGAGGTGGTTCGTGATTATAAAAGGTTACATCCAATCAGGCACAGGTACAGACACAGTCGTGACCGGCACGAATCCCGAACGTCAAAAGGGGAGGCCTCCCGTTTACATAACACATGCAGCCTCATCCTTTTCAATATTTGCATGGTACGAGAATGTATAGTAGGTAGATTAGGTAATGCACGATTGGTGAACCGTAGCCGACATGCAATTCAGTCCTGATACGGAAGTGTTAGTAACACTGGAGACCTCGACAGCCTCGTGCGAGCGTTCATAGTAAAGCACTTTGGCGCAAGATATCGAATAAGAAAGAAGAGAAGCATCATAATTGATTGTAAGTCAACATAAGGCGGAGGGATTGGAGATGGACGAAAATGGCATAGAACATGCATGCATGTTGTACACCACTACCGTCACTACGGTGGATACACAAGCGGGAGGCCCTAAGCCTTACTTAGTATGCCTCAACGAGTTAGAACGTTAGATAGCATGGCATGTCATGGCACAGCTGGCTGGCTGGCGTTCCCGACGCTGCATGTCAAGCCCCAGGTCTCGTAGAAGGTGACGATATTTGGATTGGCTACTTAATGGAATCGCTTTATGAAACGAGGGAGAATGGAGGTTTGTAACTACCGGCTGGTCTAGTCCTCGTTGAGGGGCGGGGTTGGAGTGTAAAGTGTGAAATGGACTACCAGTATATACCCCATGGCCACGGATGGAGGCATGCCAGTGACGTGCTACAGTATGTCTCCTACGGCGTGTCTCAACGAGTAGTAGTATTTGTCCTTGATTGACGATGGGTGACAGAGACTGGGTTGGACCAAGTTGTAGGCTGTGGTACCGGACCTGTTCGTACGAATCCTTTCAAATGCCACGCACTTTGAGTTTGAGACGTACTTGGTTTGTCTGGTCCGCTGCCAGACTGCGTAGTATACTTGAATGATCTAGCCCAAACTCAAGTATGAACGGGGTCTTGGTGACACTTGACGGCATTTTGATGGCAGAGTATTCTACTGTAAAACTGGGCTACGTAGGGCGTGGGCTTGGGCGATCCATGATCGACATCAGGGTTTTTACCTTAGCAAAGTAGTGGACTATCCTCTTTTAGGCTGTGTATGACGCCGAATGACACTGTCCTCCTCAACGGCAATCACGAGCTCTAGTCCCCCATCCATGATCCAAGGCTGCATGCAATTGTCGTGTAATGTCAAGAATGTGTAGCAGGCGTGGTGAAGCCATTGGTATTTAGTAACGGTAACTTGTCTGTCCTTGCACCTGGACCAATTGGGCGTGCTTGGTCCATAAAGTATATGCTAAATATTAGACAATGTAAATGTCACCGCCCGCCGATCCGGATCTGTACCTTTAGCATAGTGTAGAGGGCCCACGTGCTGGAGAGGGACGTTGAATCTGGGGGAGCCAAGTTTGAGATCTGGACTCTTTGTAGGTCAGCCCAGAGATCTGGCCAGCCTTGGGGAAGTCTTGGTAAAATGACCATGTCTTTTCCAGAACAAAAGAGACAAAGACGAACCAAATCCAACGGATCCAACGGAAAGGGCAACGAGGCCTGGAATGGCGGTGCTGTTTGGTGGACGGTAGGCCGCGGATCGAACGCATGTCGTCTGTTGTGGAGACTGGGCAAATGTCCCATAAAATTGGAACCAAATGGAGGTTATTAGAGCTTGTCAGAGCTGTTAGTGGACGGGCCTGAACGGTGAGTGGTTAAAGTGGCCTCCGGCGGCTGGGTTTCCAGGGAGCGGCCAGTTTGAGGCACGTTTTCTTTTGATTGGTTGGCGTTGTATCTTTGCTTGGAGGATTCCCGTCTGAGACGAGACTGAGTGTGGGCATTGTACGAGCCGAAGGTGTCGAACAAACCACTTTGATAGTTGTGCCTTTGACGCGGTTCATTTCAAATTGTCTTGAGCCGGCTGTGCCGAGCCGAGTTCAATCTTTCAGATTGACGAACCGGAGACGGCGTCGGGACAATTTGGGTTCGTTTGTCGTTGTTATCTGTTCCTTTAGATCTTGAGGGATATGCCGTACGTACGACGACGACATGGCACACAACATAGGTACACCGATAACCATGCCATGATGGAATTGAGAACAAGCAGGCTGAGTGAGTGAGAGCCCCGCTATTGTGTCGACTACTCGACTAAAAACAGGGCCGACCTGCCGTTGACCGGTCACTATCGACAAGCGAAAGAGGGTGTGTTGCACAGAAGGAATACTAAGACGGATGATTTGCGCCGGGGATACATGATTGCCGCCCGCGATAACAGCCTCGAATCTTTGCTCACCAGAAGCCATGTCGGGTTCCTAACAGGCGGGGAAACCTTGTAGAGGGAAATATATGCGCCTTGCCGGAGTCCGGAGCATTACTGTATTACCAGACGTACGGACGTATAGCGGGCCGTCATCGAGATGCGAGATTGGTGAGATTCAAGAAATAAGGTCAATCCTTTATCATGTGCATGATGGGCACACCGTGGATCCTACACGGCGGGAAATCACATTGAAAAAGCATGAAAGGGCATTCTTTGGGGAAAAGCCAATGGGAGAAGTTCCTGCAGCGGGACGAGCCTGTCAACCATCAGATCGAGGGAACGTGATGCTTTGACTCGGCTGTGATTGTTTGATGATGCGCCGCAGGCATTAAGGGTACTGCGGTACTAGTATTAACAACGTGGGCCGAAGGAGGGATGATCGTGGAGAAGTAAGTGTATGGGATGAAGGAGTGACAGATGATGGAGTCCAGTCTAGAATGAAGATGAAAGTCGAGATAGGTTTGGTTAAAAAGGTACGTACCTGGCTTGAGAACCTTTAGGGCCATGATCTCTGGGCCACCTGATCTGGATCGCCATGGGACCTCGACTTTTTCAAGAGATTTTCTCCCTTGACTGCACTAACAAAACCTTGAACTGTTCAAGTGACAGTAACAAGGTTCATTGCTTAGAGACATGTTGAGAAAAGAAACCGCCACCCGTTGTTAGTGTTGGCTCTTCACTTTTCCACTATCAAATCCCATTCCATGATCAGTGCACGCATCATCTGCTCCTTTGACATTTTGGTCACTGCGCGTAAAACATGGTGCATTACACCATTCTGTATTCCTCTTCCTGATGTCCTTGAGAGAATATCCAATTACTATTAACAGCCCACATTGGGCTGAGAAGGCTGAACCCAAGACTGCCCATCACCATTTCAACTATAATTGTTAGCGGGGTACGTACCTGGCTGTTAGTGTTAGCAAAGCGATTAGCGAACGGCCGAAGCCAAGGGCGAAAGACGAGAACTGAAAAGCGGGGCGGCGGCATTGGACAGCATTGGCATTTCCTAATACGCACTGTCTCCACACACGGTCCTCCTTCCACTGTCCGCCCACTGTTCGTTCAGTTTAGAGGGATCTCGGATTCCCTACCGCTGCCACCAAAACATCCCCCGAAACACACACAAACATTGACTGACCACCTACCACCGACATCATCACCACCACCAGCAGTCCACCACATCTGACGACAGATCGACCGCCGCCAACCCCAACAACGCCCGTCAATTACTGTGTCTGCGCAACCGACAGATGTCCTCCCCATGTCGAACTTGCATTCGACCAACGATCATGCCGCTCCCGCTGCTTCGGTGAGCCCTGCTCGGGTTGCTGGTCAAGATCCTTCATCTTCCACCACCACAGACTCCCAGTCCGACAAACTCCCATCCCATAAAGTGCCCCCGGTCGACCCGCCAGAAGACCAGGAACATCACATCATATCCTCTTCCTCGCCGTCCTCTTCCCCGGGTCCCCCAACACCACCAGATGAAGACGAACATCAGCCCGGACATCCACCTCCTGCTGATGTTGCTGCTGCTGCTGCTGCCGTCCCCACTCCCACCACCCTGGTCACAGATACCACAGATCCTACCGTTGCACATGCCGCACACCAGGCTGCTGCAGACCAGATTAAATACCACCGCGGCCCTACTGCTTATCTCCAGAGACACCCTTCCGGTCCTGGCGCTTCCTTGCTGACCCAGGCTTTTGCTACAGCTCGTGGCACACATAATAACAACCCCTACACCCCCCAACAACAACGGCCAGCTGATACCACTCCTACAACTACTCAACCTCAACCTCAACCTCAACCTCAACCTCAACCTCAACCTCAACCTCAGGCCGTCCCGTCTCATCCTCCGTCCGCCGTTCCGTCTGCAAGTCATACCAGACAGCCACTACCACCACCACCACCACCACCACCACCACCACAAGACCACCGTTATGAACAGCAGTCCTCTTTCCAAGAAGAAGAAGACGACGCCTTGACCCCGAAAGCCGGCTCCCCTCGCAATACCAATTTCCACAAGACACACACCATGCCGTCCATGACTGCCACCGTCACTTCGACCGCCACCATGACGGGCCCTCCGTTGGGTGGGGTCATCGAGCTCGATCTGCGTCAGGTCAACTCCATGCTCAAGGGACATCGCGAATACCTTACAAAGAACAAGGGTCGGGGAAGGTCTCTGGAACGGACCGAGTCCAAAGATGGTGCCGATAGCAGCCATCCTGTCGTCTCCTCCAAGCTCTCAGAATCCCCCACCGCTCTGAACAACCATGATGGAGCTGCTGACACCGGTGACAATGCTATTCCCAGGCTGCGCAAGGATCAACGAGCACAGACGGTTCCCGAAAAAGCATGGTCCATTGGCGTGGGAGAGCTGACGGACGACCAGGATGGCATGGTCGAAAAGTCCATTACCGAGGTCCTGGCCGGCGTCGAGCCCAATGCCCGCAGCCGCAAGGCCAGCCACAGTCTCCGCTTCTTCAAGGAGGGTCTGCCTGATGAAAAGTCCAAGAAGAAGGATACCAAAAAAGAGAGGCTCCCCTCGACCGCCGAAACGGCCGAGGAGACAGAGACAGAGGGTGAAGGGAAGTCACGGACTACTACTGTGCCCGCATCTACATCAGAGGACACGCAGTTACCCGAAACTGACGGACCAGCCCAGGCTCACTCTGTTCCCTTGCTCACTCCAGAAACTCCGGCTAGCGATAAACCCGCTGACGATTATTTCCTATCCAAGCCGGTTGAGGAGCCGGCCCAGGTAAAGCAGCAGCAGCAGCAGCAGCAGCAGCCTCCTGTTACTCCGGGTCGCGAGCATACGAGTGCAGTCCAAGATACTATTACAGAGTCTGGCAAAAAGTCTCCGTCGTTGGATCGCAAGCCAGAGCCCCGACGCAAGTCTGATGCTAGCATTGACGGTGGATCGCATACGGAGGATGGCGAAGAGTCTGGGGAGGAAAAGATTTCGTCGGCCGTATTCCTACCGCATCAAGGCCCCGAGGAGGCTGAAGAGCACTCCGACGAGCCTGGCACGGCTTCATCCCGAGCCGCGCTTCCGTCAAGAACACATTCTCGAGCTGAAGATTTCCATCCGTGGCTTGTGAAAGCTGGTGAGCCTGAAGTTGAATGTCCAGACGAGTGTCTTGACGTTGAAAAGACCCATCGGCCTGCCAAGCCTGCCGACAGCGTTGCTACTACTGTTCCTTTTGTAGGTTCTCAGATAGACACTGGCAAAGTCAATGAACCTGCCGTTGCGGACGAGAGTGAAACTGGTGTCCATCCACCACAAACAAAGCCGTCCCAGTCCATTGCTGCGCATCATTCTCATCACTTTCATCCCGAAGAGACCGTCCATGACCACCAAGGGGAAACCAAAGACCAGCCCCTAGATGCAATTGAACTGATCCCTTACAAACACCAAGTCGGGGGGCACACCACCCTCTGGCGCTTTTCTCGACGGGCCGTCTGTAAACAGTTGAACAACCGAGAGAATGAATTCTATGAAAAAATTGAACAATATCACCGCGACTTGTTGGCTTTTCTGCCGAGGTATGTTGTCCACGTATATTCGTGTCTGTATGATCCGAGACTAACGTTGTTGTTGTTGCAGATATATCGGTGTTTTGAACGTTACGTTCCAAAAGAAGCCTCGACGAAAGTCGGTGCACAAGAAAGATGAGGCGGCTGCCGCGCTGGAAGCCCCTGCAGCCGGACAAATGAAGCTAGCTCTGGCGCTAAAGGGACCGAAGCTGCGCCAACAAACGGTGCCCAGCCGGCACAGCCAGAGCAGCGCATCATCAGCCAGTCGATGCAGCAACCAGCGGGTCAGATCCCTACTGTCACCTTTGTTGATAATCAACACATTCTCCCGCGGAGCCTGATCCAGCCAGCATTGGCCTCGTCAAGCTCCTTCACCCGTTTCCGGAGTGCCTCGGCTTCTGTCCAAGGGGGTAGGACTCCCAATGGACAATGTCATACTGAGAACCCCAGCCACATGTTGCGGCCAAGGCTGGAGGACCGGCATGCTAACAGCTGGGGAGCCACCATGGTGAACAAGCGACTGCGTAACGAGGTGTTCAATGACGCCTTCCTCAAGCAGCCCATTGCCGTTCACCGTCACAAGAAGGGTCATCAAAGACCGTTCTCTCGGAGAAGTCTGCAGCCAGTACTCCGCCATACCGAGTCTGATCCGAACTTGGAAGTCGCTCAAGATGCCAAGCCGCGAGCCAGCAGTGCCGGTGAGGAGTCGCGCCTCAAGCCCAGCGACTTGGTACGAAGCGAGGAGAACCTGGCCACCACCAGACCGCGCAGCTTCAGGGAGGAAGGAGTGGAAGACGACGGGCCTAAGGACGTGACGGGGACTAGTGCTCCTGAGCCAGAGATCCTGAAGGATGCGTCGCCCGCTCAGCCCGTGAAGAAGCGTCGGTACTCCGGGACTGGACTGAGGAGGAAGCCCAAGGACGTTCAGGATGCACGCGGTGACCTGCAGTACTTTGAGGAGGCTGACTCGGCTGTTTACAAGGCTGATAATGACAAGGAGGTGTTTGAGGTCAAGTGTGTTGATGGTAAGGATTTCGCGGCACAGGAGGACATTGGACCGTTGGACACCACGCACAATGGCACCAACGGTGTCAACGGTGTCAACACCGACAATGCCATCGCCGACGAGAATGAACTTCACAACGAAATCGCCAAGATCCCACGGCCCATCAACCCCAAAGAAGCCCAAACACAAACCGACTCCCGCGTCGAGTACTTCTTGCTACTCGAAGACTTGACGGCAGGCATGAAGCGTCCCTGCATTATGGACCTCAAGATGGGCACCCGCCAATATGGCATTGAAGCCTCCCCCAAGAAGCAGAAATCACAACAAGGCAAATGCGCCAAGACCACCTCCCGCGAGCTCGGCGTGCGCGTCTGCGGCCTGCAAGTCTGGGACGTCGCCACCCAATCCTACGTCTTCAAAGACAAGTACTACGGGCGCGATCTCAAAGCCGGCCAGGAGTTTCAGGATGCCCTCACGCGGTTCCTGTACGACGGCGTCGACCGCGCCTCCATCCTTCGGCACATCCCCACCGTTTTGCACAAGCTTTCCGAGCTAGAAGTCATCATCCGTCGTCTCAAGGGATATCGTTTCTACGCCGCTTCCCTCCTAATGTTCTACGACGGCGAACCTTTGCCTCCTCCTACGCCCCCCACCTCTTCAACAACCACGCACTCGGAATATGACACTGCAGTGGAAGACTATTATTCTACCGACTTTGCAACTGATAACGACGACGCTACCTCCACTAACAAACACCGCACCCCTTCCGCTCTTCGCGGTAGCAATGGAGGAAAGAAAAAGAAGGGCAAGCATGAAATCGACTTCAAAATGGCCGATTTCGCCAACTGTGTAACAGCTGAAGATCTCAAAGCCAATGGCATCGAAGGAAAGCCTTGCCCGCCGCAGTTCCCTGAGGAACCGGATAATGGGTTTTTGAGAGGCCTCAGGAGTCTGAGGAGGTATTTCTTGAGGATTCAGAGGGATGTGAGGAGGGAGCTGGGGATGGGGACATGGAGGGCGGTGGATGAGGAGATTGAGAGGGAGATTATGGAGGAGGATTATGCGGGGGATGAGGGGTATGTGTCGGATTAGGGGGGGGGAGGAGTTAAGGAGGATGGGGATGATGGGGAGATGAGGAGGATGGGGATGATGGGGAGAATGTTAATGAGTATGGTGCAGAATACGGAAATGGGGAAAGTAATGGAATGGGAGAGAACTAAGGAAATAAGTTGTTTTTTTTCGCGAGTGAGTAAGAATGTTTTACGTACGGTACGGTACGGCTGTTGTTTGTTATTGGAGTGTTTGTTCTGTCAGGGTGGGTGTTTGTGGAATGGAGTCTTGGTTGGGTTTGATGAATGGAATTTATGGAATTTCGAAACGTAACTGTATGCATTCGTTGATTGTTCGTTGTCGTTCGTGTGTAGTTGTTGTGAAGTGTTCAGTTTAGTTGGTGTCTCTCCTGACGTGACGTCCGGTTATATTATTTATGGATATATGGATACCTTTAGTGACGAGGACATCGGTGAGCGGAGGAACAGGCAAAGAAGAACGAAAAAAAAAAAAAAAAAAAAGCAAGAATCGAAAAAAAAAAAAAAAAAAAAAAAAAGCAGGGTGAAAAAAAAAAAAAAAAAAAAAAAAACACTGGTGTTCTAGCGTGCGTGTCCATACAAGGCGCAACAGCCTTATGAGCAGCACTGAGGAAAACCCAGAGACGTACAAAGTAGAGAATTATTATACATATTTACCATTCGTGCGGTGTGATGATCGTTTGCTTCTTGATGATACTGCTTTTGTTATCGGTACTGGTTCTGCATCTCTCAGTCATGTAGCAGTACAGTCACGCCAAAGCTGTGAGTGAAGTGAAGACTCTTATTTTTCTTTTATCTCACCATTCATTCATTCATTCATCTCGAGCATCGACCTCGTGCTTAACTCCTCCTGCTTTACTCCTAGGCAGTCACGAAAGAGACTAACGCCACCTCTCTCTCTCTCTCTCTCTCTCTCTCTCATCTAGACAAGTAGAAATATCTCACAAGAGTACAGAAGGAAGGTATCAAGAAGGTAAGGTATCAAGAAAATAGTATCAAGAAGGTATCCAAGAAAAGTACCAGTGCCTGCCTGCCTTTCCCGAAAACATGAAGCAAAGAGTGATTGACTGACTTTTTTTTGTATTTTGCGTATTAGGTAACAGGAATGATGATAGGGTACACTGAATGACTGACTGACTGACTGACTGACTAACTGGTATGACATCGGTTATGGAAGTTATGGAAGTTACCTCTACCTCTAAAACCTCTCTCTACCTATGCTGTGTAGGGAAAAAGTAGACAGCAGAAACTGACTAAAGTCAAAAGTAGGTAGGTGGGTACACATAGGTGCGTTAAACATAAAAGGAAGGAAAAGTATTTGAAGTTGGTTGGTTCCCTGGCAAAGCAGTGACGGATGTCGGATGAGTGGATGGGTCGAGGAATATGTGTCGTTGTTGTGGGTTGATAGTTCCATAACAGGTTTGTGTTGGAAGATTTTTCAGGTGCTGTTAGCGGAATAACTACAAACGATGTCACTTTAAATGCACGGAAGGGTTCATTTTGCAAAGATTACCTAGATGGGATCATTCATCTCATTCAATTTCCCCAGTTCTCTCTTTCCATCTTCCAACTTCATCACCGCCTCGCCTAATTTTGTTCCCTAGTTACCATACCATAATTCCATACCTGGCATAACTACCACATCGTAACCATGCCATGCTATGCTTGACTCGTCCATCCTAAAACCAGACGAACCCGAAGCCACCAAGAATATAGCCATAACCCATAGTGATTCCAACCGAAAAAAGAAAGAAAGAGAGAACCAGAACCAGAAACAGAAAGAAAAAGAGCATACACCGTAAACCATACCAGGAAAAAAAAAAAAAAAGCTATGCACGCATCATAACTCCTTGCTTGTAATCAAAACCAGAACATTAGAAACCAATAAACCAACCAGCCAGCCAACCCAGCCAGCCCCACAAACAGAAACTTTTTGTTTCATAATCATGACAATTCATGCTTCAGTTCTCATAATCGCATGCTCGCTCGCTTCGTTAAACATTTTCCGACAAAACAAACCCATTTCGCCTTTTTGGCCTGTACCATAGACACACAACGGCAGACAGAAACAAAACCACTTCGTCAACCACCAGCTCAGGCTCTGGCTATGGTTAACCAGCAAAGCTATCCTCAGCCAACCACCTCTCCTCCCTCTCCCTCTGCATCTGCCTTACTCTCTCTTCCATATCTCTTTCTCTTTCTCTCTGGTTCATTCCCATCCCACTCATCTGAGTGTGTCCCATCCCCATCCCGCTCCTAGCAAGATTGTGGTTTGGTGGTGGTGGTGGTGGGCATCCATTGACTCCATGACCACCGCCCAACACCCCGCCATTAGCGTTGATGTCTACTTCCCTTAGCACCCCGTTGCTTCCACTGGTTCCATTGATGCCATTCCCATTCGTACCACGACCTCTTCCATTCAGCGGACTTCCATTTTGCATCTGGTGCATCTGGTGCTGCTGAGCATGGTCATTAACCCGCCCAGCAACAGGTGACATCGACTGGCGCCTGGATCCCGGACCCTCGGCATCGCTTCCGACAACAGTCGTAGGACTTCCGAATCCAAAGCCTACAGCGCTGCCGAAGCTGCTAGCACCCGTTGGCAAGCCAGGCATTCCGGGTACGTTGGGCATAGACACGCCATTCATCTGTCCCTGAACCCCATTTCCATTCAGCAATCCATTCCCATTCCCATGTCCAGACACGGTGATAGCCGGAGCAGCAGCAGCAGGAGTCTGATTCCTTCCACCGGGAACAGAAAACACCCCCCTCCCCATCAGCGCTTTCCAGACTTCGTCTCTAAGAGAGAGGACTTGATCGCGATCAAACGGTAGCCCATCAACTTTTTTGAGTCTCGAACACTTCTCAGCCAGCAAGTGGTCATACACCCTCCTTCGCATTTTGGTCTGCAGATCGAGGCGTGACGAGTAAGCCCTGTCGGAAGCGGGCGTTTGCGGGGAGAGAGTCCACTGGTCTTTAGTCTCGTGGTCCTCTTGTCCCTGCCCATCCGCTGCTTCCTTTTCCTTCTGTGCATCCTCGCCGACATCAGTCGTTTTGTTTTGTTTGCCAAAACCAGCACCGCCTTTGCACAACTCCTGAACGGGGGAGTAGAAACCCATTACCAGGCCATTCCCTCTCAGGTCTACAGCTGTGAGACAAGAAAAGTTGGCGAGGACTTGAACCAAAGAACTCAAATCCCTAATCCGATTCCCCGACACAAACAGCCTTTTTAGGCGGGGGACATATCTCAACGGCGCCAAGTCCTCCAGCGCATTCATGTTCAGATTCAAAACCCGTAGGTTAGGCATCATCTGCCCCACGTCCACGGGAAGCTTGGTTAAGCCGCAGTTGGCTAGCTCGAGAAGTTGCAGGTTGAGCATATCGATGGGCGGGTTAAACCCGCTCTCTTCGATGCCCTTGGGGTTGGTGGTGGTGCCTAGGTAGTTCCCTGACAGGAAAAGCTTGCGGACTTCGTAGGCCCGTGACAGTAAGTGGTCGAGGTCGAGCGGTTCGGGACCTTGTTGTTCCCGGAGGGAGAGGCTGTCTAAATGGCGGGCGCGGGAGAAGCCGTGGATGCGGACGAGGCGGTTACGGTCGGCGTGGAGGAGGCGTAAATGCGGGAGGTGGTGGATGGAGAGGTGGGATAACGAGTTGTCGTTGAGGTGGAGGTACCTCAGCGAGGAAACCGCTTGTCCGTGCTCAGAAGTCGGGGAGTCGGGTCCAGAGGTAAGTGCGGCCGGCGAACCAACCTCAAACACCTCGATTTGGTTCCCTTCCAGATTCAGCGAGCTCAAAACCGGCAGCTGGTCCAGATTGACCACCCTCTTGATTCTGTTACCCCTCAGATCCAACTCGGTAAGATGCACCAACCTCGCTCCATCAAAGTCCACCTCCTCAATGTAATTCCCCCTCGCTCGCAACACTTGCAACCCATCATGGAACTTGATCCCCTCCAAGCTCTCCAAGCGGTTATTGTCCACCCTCAGCTCCCTCAGATGCACCAACTGCTTGAACGGGATTCAGGCTCGTCAACCGGTTGTTCGAGATATCCACATACTGCAGATTAATCAAGTGTCCCCACGCCGTCAAGCTTGACAGCTGGTTGTTGGTCATCTTGAGGAAGCGAGTAGTGGCCGGAGCGCCGGTGAGGTTCCTAATCTCGTTGTGGCTGGCGTCTAGAGACTCGAGACGGCCACAAAACTCGTCGAGGGCGTGAAGTGATTCCAGACGCTTGTGCGCCAGGCAGAGGTTGCGCATGTCTTCCCAGTAGGGCTCAAAGGGCTCGACTTCGGTGAGCTTGGCGACAAGATCGCGGGTGGACATGGACATGGAGCGGCCGCGGGAGTGGTGGTCGCCTGTCACAAGATGGTGGTTTCCAATAACATAACTTGCTTCGAGAGCCAGTGTCGACTCTTCCGGAGGATGGATGGTGAAGTCCGCAAGGGGACTGAGGGAGAAGGTGCCGACATACTGGCTGATGATGTGCGCCGGATCGTTGCCGGACATGGAGCATGGTCGTAGATGGTGAGCGGGTGTTGCCACGAGGAAAGAGATGCTGTTATGGAGTTGCTCTTCGGGTTCCTCTTGGTTGACCATTGATGTTTCAGCAGCAACAATGCTCAGTTCCATACCCTGAGGTTGTGGCGACAACAAGGACGGTTGACCAAGACCAAGAAATCGGAGGCTGTTCTTATTAGCATTGCTGGACTCTTCATCATGCTCATCAATCCTCGAAACAGGTCTTGCCATGTACGTCTGGCCTTGGACAGACAAGTGTCGCTGGGGACCTCGTGAGCGACTGCGTGACCTAGACGCAGAACCAGACGCGACTTCGTTCCTCAGCTTGGAGGCGGAGATTGACACGGCCCTACGGCCTCGGGGTTGCGGTTGCTGAGGTTGCTGCTGTTGTTGCTGTTTGGTGTAACCTCTCGGCGGCAGAGGTGGCAGGCTACGCTTCTTATTGCGCTGCTGGTTATTGTTGCCCTCCACACCAGTTAGTCCGAGCGCGCTCGGAGGGTCGGCATCGGAATCAACGTCGTCGGCTACGTCCTGGATGTCCTGGATGATAGACGCAATGGGAGATGAGAAACTGATCGTGAGATGTCTGCGTCGGGCTGCTTGTGGAGTATTGCTTACTCGGTCCTCGTGAATCCCAATTTCATGTTCGACATCAACGCCTGTGCTTGTACCTGTGCCCGTGTTCTGTGACTGCAGCGAGGGTTTTGCGTCGCCGCGCTGGTCGTCAGTTTTGGTTGGCTTGTTTTTTTGGCCAGGGTTCGACGTGTCAGAGTCCCTGCGACTCCCGGTTGGCTGCCACTGCGGTTCCGAGTTAAGGAAATCGTCATCGCCAAAAGGTGCCGCGACGTCCGATGGTTGGTCGGAGTCGAGATCATCCTGCTCGTGTTCGTCGTGCTCCTGCCCCCGTTGATTGGTCGTAAGCCGCAACTTTTCCAATTCCTCCATGATGTCCACGGTGAGATCGGGAATGTCGGCGAATGGGTCATCTTCGCTCACCTCCGAGGCAATGAAACTGTTTTGTCTACTGCCCATGAACGCGTTAGATGGCCGCTTCCTGACCCAGACATTTCGCTCCCTGTCCAGCACCATGTTGCCAACTCGGTCTGGGATAAGATGCAGTACGCTTTCCGGCGCAATCGTCTTTCTAGTATCGGAGCCCTTGGATGAGGTGGTATGAGATGACCGTCCTGTGTAGTTATCAGACTCTGACTGGGTATGCCTTCCATCCTCAACGTTCTCATGCGACAGCTTAGTCTTAAGAGCTGGGTTCCAAGAAATGCGAATGTTTGGCGGATCACTGATAACACCGTCTTCCCTAAAGTCCGGCAAGATAGGACCGCCCTTCTTGCTTGCATGATGCTTTTCATCTTGACGTACAGTACCAAAGCCTTGCCGGTGCAGTGCAGCCGAACGCAGAGACGAGCCCATGATGTCACCCATATCGCTTGCTTCCTCATACTGCTTGAGACGCTCTGCAAGGACGGGATCTTCCTGCTTGGTTGACATGCGCGTCAAAGGCGGGCGTCCTTCGCGGCTGGGCGGACGCAGGAACGATTCCTGGGTAGACTCCTCGTAGGAGCTCTCCCCATCCGCATCATGGCGAGAATCATACTCATCCGACTCCTCAACACTAGTTAGACCACTGGCCGCGTTCTTGCGAATCATGGCCATGATCTTGTTAGCCTCGATAAGAAAATCCTCAGTTTTAATGGAAGGTTTGCGATCGGTGTTCATTGCCGATCCTGGTGCGCCATGTTTCTTGGACGTCCGACCCTTAGAAGACGCTTTGGATGACGGCCTAGTAGGGCGACTGGATGACTTCGTAATGAGCTCCGTCAGGGGCGGCCTTCCCTTTTTACCCTCCTTCTGAAGAGACGATCTCTGGAGAGGTGTCGGCGTGCGTGGTCTTGGCACATCTTTGCCCGAGGGCGTACCAGGCTCAATCTGTTCGCGACGTTTTTCAGCATGCACTTCCTTGCACCGCTTCTCAATGGTAGCCTGTATCTGTTGGTATGACAGCTTCATGGACTGTGTTTCCGGAGAAGGAGAGAGATCTTCCAGTCCAAATTCGATGTCCGACTCATGCAGAGTCCTACGTCGTTTAGGGGTCGGATCCTTTGAAGGAGAAGTGCGCGGCCGCTTAAACTCGGGGGCTGGGTCTGTTCTTCGCTTGCTGGGGGTGGCAAATGTAGCGGGAATATGGGTGAAAGCATGGCGTTTCTTATGCGCCGAGCTAGATCCCGTCTTGGAATGGCGTTTCGATGAACCTGAGTCAACGGGCCTTTGGCGTTTCCTACGCACCGAAGAATTGCTTGCATCAGCGTCTTCGTCGTCGTCTTCTTCGTCGGCGTCCGCATCAGAGCGCGAGGACGGACAGCTGAAGTCAAAGACAGGGATCCGGGGTCCTGGCAGAGAATCGTCATTCGGACCCTGGTTTTCCTTGTCACCCTCAACACCGGATGCGCCAACCGACTGGTACGAGAATTCGTCCTGGAACTCGTATCCGTCCAAAACGCCAGCTCCGAACTGGTTCACCGCAACCGACGCCTTGCGTTGGCCGGTCTCCTGTCCTCGACGCGTGTGGGTTTTGGGCGGTGATAGATAGCCTCCAGAGTCCATATAGGATATGTTTACTGGAGACTCATCTCCAGTTTGCTGCCCAGAAGAAGCCTGTTCGCCCGGGGTGTCGTTGTGATATTGACTGAGTCGTCTTTGCAGGATCTCGCTGGTGAATGTATCGTAGGGCTGGAAGAGCTTCAAAGGACTGCCGGCTCCTTGCTGTGAAGATGACACGCGCTTCGTAGCTGCGCTAAGATTGGGGATTCGGGGAAATGCGGGTCGGCTGCGGGGAGAAATTTCGTCCGAGATGTTGCCTGATGCTTGTGCAGGAACGTGCTCGTAATCATCCCAATGTTCAACCTTGACAGAAGGAAAGCGCTTGGGGGTGCTAGCTTGAAGAGACTCCTCCGGATTGAGCTCTGAAATATCGTTCAACGCCGAGCTCAACATGTGGTTCTGGAATGATCCGTCGGCAGATCGGCCACCTCTTCTGACGTTGATGTAGCTTCCCAGCTTTTCGTAGTCTTTCGAGGTGTTGTTGGTGTCGCCTACCTTATCGTCACTCCTTGATGATCCCCCAGTTTCGGCAGCCTCAGCCCCGCTCTTTCCAGACTCGCTCTTCCCAGAGACACTACCTCCGGAATCGCTCCTGCCGGTGCGGGCCATGCGCAACTGATTCTTCCTAAGAGTCTCGAGGCGGTAGCGGAGCTCGTCCGGGGAAATTTCTGGCACAAAACTCGAGTTGCCCTCTCCGGTGTCGTGCATAGTGAGCAGTATAGGGCTGAAATCCTCATGGCGCAAGACGCTCTGGCCGCTTGCCTGACGCGACCCAGCGCTGAGGTTTCCGAGATGGGAAGAAGCGGAGGTGGATGGCGTCCGTGAGCGAACCTTGGAATAGGTCTGTTGCCGGGTGGTAGTAGAGGCACGGAAACTGGACTCGGATCCTTGACTGGGGTCACTGGAATCAGTAGCCCGCCTGTAGCGTATTTCTGGTATTTTGCGCCTTTGTTGTTCTTCTTGTTGTTCCTCTTCGATTTCTTCCTCCTCTGGCTCCTTAGGAATTGGGGGAAGCGATTGTAGAGACTCTTCCACATGTATCTCGACGGTTGAAGGATCCCGCTCTCTGCCTAGAAATGGCGGGCTCGAAGGTAACGTAATTTCGACATGGGACTCGGCTTGCGACTCGTACTGGGATTCGAAACCTCGGCCGTTTCGCGCATTCGCGTTCGTATTGTTGCCCGCCATATTCGAATTCGAAGCAGCTGGAGGTGGTGGTGGTGGTGGCGGCTTGAAGATGGATTCGAGGATTGCGCCAGCCGAAGTAAACAGGTCGGGCGCTTCACCGTAGTCGAGTTCTCGGTATACCAAACGTCTCTTCCACTCTGGCGTATCTTGTTTCCTCCCAGGAGAACCATTCACTTCATTGCGATTAACAGTGTTGTGGATTACGGAGTCGCCAGACTGAAGGGATTCGGCCATGGAGACGGTGCGACTTCGGGCGTCAATGACTCGTTGGCGGTCGCGAACTCTATCCCCGAGGGACTTGGTCGAGCCACGGCGCGATGCAGCATTGGAGGCGGTGTTGCTGTTGACGCGATCATGGTGTAGGATGCTGTTGTTGGCACTCGTTCGATTCGAATTCGGTCTAGGGATTCGACTCGGAGGGGTCTTGGGTGGTTTCCTGCTCTGGGAGGTTGAGGAGCCTGCTTGGGATAAATTGCGACTGTGGGCGGCGGTGCTGGGCCGAGATATGGATTGCGATTGCGACTGTGACCGTTGATGGCTGTCCAACTTGTTTGCAAACTGTGACGCGTTGCTAGCTATCGAACCAGGCTGGGAGGGCCAGTCCTCCGAGAGGGAGTCGAGCCAAGCATGCCCCATCCTGGGCAATCAGTCGGATGTTCGGATGCCAGTTTGTGGCCAAATCCTGGAACTGGAAACGGGGAAAAACGAAACGGATTGCGCGGGACACGAGACGAGTTGGGAAAGTTGGGTGCGCAATCGGCGGAGTTGCTCGGTGTGAGTGGTGTGTGTGGGCGCAATCGCAATCACACTTTTGGACTGGACTGTGACAATACTGCTGCTGGGGGGCCTGTGACAAGCTCTCTGGGGGTCGGGGACTGAATGAGTGAATGGAAACACGGTGGGCGGAAGTGGAGGGTGGATTCCAGATGGGAAAATGGTGGATGGTCGGGAGGAGAAGCCAGGATGATGCCTCTTGTGACCCAGAGAAAATCCAGAATGTTTTGTCTAAATTGGCGGGGTACGTATCTCGATCTCTAGTTTTCCAACTTGTCGATTTGTTGAAGATGCTCTTTTTTGCTGTTTGTGGTTGGGCTGGTTGGTTGAGGTTGGTTTGTTAGGTTTTGTTTGTTAACCAAGTACAGCAGCCGTGGTGCTCCGTTTGCAGCAAAGGTTCATGTTGGTTGGACGTGGAGATTGGGCGACGAGAGCGGGGCGCGGCGAAAGGTTATGTTATGACCTGTACGGTACACTTTTGTCCAGTGTTAAAGAACAGAATCGAGTTGATGTTGTTGTGGTAGTTCAGATTCCTTACCTCTAATTCTTTGAGCAAGCGTAAAGATATGCAAGGGTAAGACACGAGCAGTGGAAAAGGCCCGGTTTGTATGGATGGCAATTGATGGTTGATATGCTGATGTTTTGGTTTATCCAAGTGTTGTTGAAAGTCAAAAAGGTACTTTCACCTTGTAACCACGGGACGTTCAAAAGACATGGAAACTTGACTTTGAAAGAAAAAGAGGCGTCTTCTATTGGGCGGCCCATTAACGCGACCTCCCTCTCTACCACTCACGACCCAAGAACACGGCACAACACGGCTATAAGGAAGGAACAATAATCAAAGTGGCTGAACCCTCCATCTGGATGATGACTTGCAAGGGAAGGCTGGTGGACGTTACTCTGTTGCTGTCTTGTGTGCCTGGATGGAATCTTGGATCAAAGCGAGAGAAGGAGTTCTGGTTCCTTGTTCCTGTCTCATCGCATCTTCTCTTCTCAAATCAGGGCATCTACCAGACTTTAACATGGAACATGCGATGAACTGCAGTTGCCGTGTGCTGTGCTCTGCTTCTTACAAAACAAACCAATGACAACGACAACGGGCTCTTCTTCCGTCTCTGCCTTGTACTTTCTCCAAACTTACAGGGCAGGGACTGGTTTGGGGGTAGGGGTACCTTACCTGTCTCGACTCTTCTTTTGAAGCCCTGTCAACCATATCTTATCAGCACTCCCCGGCCACTCCCTTGTGTTTCTTCAGTGAGACGTTAACAACGCCAAAGCGCTCGCGTCCTTCTGGTACTGAAGCAGACGGCCAGAGCCGTGATTGGCCAACCGTCGTTTACTACTGCCATGGTCTCCATCTTGGCAACCATGATTCGCTGTTTCACCTTCATCAAAGCACGAGCCATCATCAGAGACAGAGCAAATGATCTTCGCCTGGCCAGGGCGGTCCGCGAAATACCCCACTATCCGAATCTCCACAGCAGTTAAAGAGCTTGCAGCTTCATTTTTGAAAGTAATGTCACATGATCTGGCGAAACCTTACTAATTGGTTTTGCGCGAACACCACACGAAGAGATCGAAAAAGGAAAGTCGACGCGATCCACTAGCATAACCCTGACACCAGCTGCTTGTTTGTTAGCAATAGCAGGCCGATTGCAAGTCGCCAAGGTAACCCAAATCTGATCTTTGTTTCAATCCAATTGCACCGTCCAGACCAAAGAAAAAGCAACGAATACAGACCACAGCAAACTGTTTCAATCACGTCTTTTCGTTTTTCGTAATCCAATCAATCTGTTCGTACCAAGTTGCTATCGACATCCTCGACCAGATAGACTGTACTCGACATCTCGACACGGCGATGCGCTCACTCTGCGCTCAGAACGACGACGAACCGGAATGAAAGCGATCGGCTCTTGTTAGCGACTGTTAGACCACGACTGCCGTACCTCGATCGATGTAACAACCACAACCTAGGCTGTCGACTAATAGTAGCCAACAAGCTGTTCAAATTTCGACAACATGAAGCGCCGCTCGCATCTTGTCCACGGCTGGCTTACCGAAGCCTTTCCCGACGAGCCTATCTACTCTGAAGCCCTCCATACCTCCGAAGACGTCTTATGCTCTGGTTCCGAAGATGAAGCCTACAACTCCCCTACCGAACGACGTGAACGATACGAGGACAAGGGCCAGCGTTTTCTCCAAGGCAAGCCATTGTTCCTGTTGTCTGCGTCGCTAAGAGGTCCATTTACCAAGGAGAGCGGCTGGAAGAACCCGTGGCGGTCACAAACTGGCGGAAAGAGGAGGATTGAATCACAGGCAGCCAGTGCCACTCCAGGTCCCGTTGAAGAATCAATAGTCATAACAGCTACACCAACGATCCTGGGGAGCGCACTGCATGGCACCAAAGAGCAGTCGCCTGTACACGAGGAAGCCAGTTCGAGGTCAACTACTCCCACTACACCCCACCGATATTTAGACGACGAAACCCTGCGGGAAATCAGGACATGGCAAAAGAAAGTCGAAAAGCAGTCAGAACTGGAGGATCCCTACGACGAGACGACATATGAACCGAGTTCACCAGATACGTTGAAGAGCCTCCAAGTTGAAATCACACCAAGGACGCATGGGTCCCGGCCGTTCATTGTGTCATCATCTGCTGTCGTAGAGGAGGCTGTAAAGGAGGATCCAGTGGAGCATGACGAGGAGGATATCGCTGAGCAAGATGGAGAGGTCAACCTAAGATACGAGGAGGAGGAGGAGGAGGAGGAGGAAGAGGAAGCAGGGCTCATAAACGTCGACGAAGAGGACGATTCATCGCTTACGGATTTGGATGAAGAACAATTTCAGGAGCCAATCGGAGAACGAAACACCGACCAGGAGGCAGAGGAGGATGGCAGGGACGAGGACGAGCACTATCACACGGCAAAGGACGAGGAGGAGAAAAATCAGGAACAAAACACTGAGAGCCAACAAATATCGGCAAGCCTACCTGTTCAATACCCATCCGACGATGACAGCCCTACAAAACGCCCTATAGCATCACAACCTCTTCCCCAGCCTAATGGTAAACTAGACCTTCGACCTAGGGAAGAGTTGGGATTTCTGCCTGTCGATACCATCGACTTGTCACCCACTGCCGTCAAGATATATGAAGCATCGCTTCGGGGTAGTACCTGCTACACTACCTCATGGCGGGCACAAGAACGGAGGAAACAGGGCAATCTTCTACCGGGACTTGTTGGTGCGGCTCTGCCAGCAGACAATGCCGCCCAGCGCCCCTCCAGTCGGTTGGGTCGCAGCTTGCATGCATCAGCCTCTGACTCCATCTTGCACAATCAAAAAAGGCCAAATAAAAATGGATCGGTCACCCTCGAGCATAAAACAATCGGACCCCCGCACATGTTGGTTGACAATCAACCGTCCGAGCCTGAAGAGACAAAGGATTCGCCCAACGAGCCGTCCGATACGCCTGCTCATCACCAACAGATCACTGTGGCACAGCCAGAATCCCCTCAACGCATTATTTCTACGACCGGCCTCCCTCAGCCAAATACTGCTATCGCCCACATTGCTCCTGAGACAACGGAAGGAGAACAAAAGAGTCATACTACCGATCCAACATCAGCCTCATCATCCGAGATATCGAGTCCAGCTACATCTTTCGAGGAAGAAGAGGAAGAGCCCATCGAAGAACCTGCTGAAAACGTGAGAAAACTTCTCTGGCCCAAAATCCAACGACAAACAAGCACCCAAGACTCGACGCCGAATATGGCTCTTGGTGAACCGCCAGAAACAGCGAGCTACGTCCAAGCAGGGCCGAGACAACTGCAAAACGGATCCGTTTCCGCATCAGGAGAACACGATGCAGGGCAAGCAAGTCTCGAATCCTTCACAATCAATCAGCAACCTGAAAATGACAGAGCGCCAACCACGGTAGAGCTCAACGGCCTTGACTGGCAATCACCAAGTCGCTTATTACAATCACAACCACAATCGGTACAGGAGGCTACAGTATCCGAAGAGAGCATCTACGATGACACGATCAATCAAGTGCGGCTCGAATGGCCAGTTGGGGCTAGCAGCCTCCCTCCCCAATTTCAAGTCCAGAACCAGCACTCAATACCCATGGCGAGCATAGAGGAAGCATCATTGACGGAACATGACACACCGGCACAGCACATTGCACCAGAACAAGCAAAGAGAAGTGTCAACATTATGGATCTTCGGCATATAACAAATTCGACCTCTCGCAACGCAACACCTCTTCGGCCATCTTCGGGCTTACAGAAACCGTCTACGCAGCCCCTCCGGATACCGGTCCTCGTACAACCTCGCTCATCGGTTACTCCTGAGGCGCCAGTAATTCCGGAATCGAGCCGGCCACAACTGTCAACTATTGCCAGCCGAGCCCTCGCTCAAGCCTTCCAACCTGTCGTCCAGCAAAGCCCCTGGGCAAAGGGCGACTCACAAATAACGGCCCTCGCTGCTCCAGCACCGGAACCGCGATCCTTCAACCCCGTCTCATCACCTTTATCCTCACCTGCGTCGAGCTCTTATTTCGTGGATATGGAGAATCCTGTGTTGCCGGTATTATCAAACCCTCCAGTTCCTGGTAACGACGCTCAACCAGAAGAACACATAGCGGTGCCACCAGCCCGAGCCCAAACACCCCAAGTCCAGCCTCCCCACCCACCCTCAACGCCGGAAACTAAAAGATCGAGTCTCCCAACGCCAGAGTTCACAATGTCTATCAAGTCCTTCAAGCATTTCATGACACCCTCACCCCAAAGACCGGTAAAGCGCCCGCGGTTGTCACTAGGAGACGGTCGTTTACCAGATACTCAGGCTTTGAAGGAAGCGGTGGTTACGAACCCGTGGGATTCCAGTCGTCTTGACGCTGGTACCATGCCCGACACCGCGATGCCATCAGCTCACAGCAGGTTGAAGAAACGTGTATCATGGGCTCCCCTTCCGGGCGAAGTTGATTACATGGACCCCGATATGTCAATGGACATAGATGTGGATATGGAGGTTCCTGACCAGCCTTCATCGGTCAACAGAACGACGGATCACCAACCAGGGAGGTCTATCCTCTCGACGTCAGCATCAACATCAAACTACAGAGGCATTCCAAGACGAGCAGCCTCTCCACCACCAAGTTTCTCGATGCCAAGCGTCGATTCGCCGCTGCCAAAGGAAAGCCAAAGGTTCGAGAAGCACTTTGCTGCCATGTCTAGTCGGAGACGGCTTGCTCCTAGACCTGTTATTGCTACGCCTGCTCCTGCTGGGTATAGAGCCGATAGTGGGAGAGAGGCCCCAATGCTTCGAGATGTTAGTGGCAATGCTCGAAGCACAGACACCTCTCGACTAGCCAAACGTCTTCTACCGAGTGAATCGCAGCAAACGTGTGGGAGTCCGGCCGTGGATGGCATGGCGAATGCTTTTGTGCAGGCTGATTGGCAGGTTGAGAATCTCAACTTCAACAACCGCCATCAGCATCAGCATCTGGCGCAGGCTGATATCCCCTTAACTGGTAAGGGAATATGGCAAGACCCGACAGACCGACCGAACCCAATACCAGAACAACAACAGAAAGACAACGACGCCTTCCCCCTACCCACCCTTCCAGGCTTCGACTCCCAACCTCAGTCTCAATTCCAAGAAACCGACGAAGTTACAGAAGTCATGGATAACTTGGACGATTTCATCGATAGCTGGGATATTGACGAAGAGCTGGCTGAAGCAAGGGGTGAGAAGAGCAAGAGGAAGACGAAAGCACAACCACAACCTTCGAAACTCGGTCAAAGGCTGAGCACGGGGTTGGGCGATGGGCGGAATCTTTGGGACTCACCTAGTTCTAGACCACGGAGTGCGCTGAAGCGGAAGCGAACTATTGATGGTGGTGATGGGGAAGATGGGGGGAAACACAGTGCTGGAGGAGGTGGTGGTGGGATATACGACCCGGGGGTTTGGGATCGGATTGTTTAGTCGTCAGTCGCTTAATGGGTGGGGTTAGCATTCAACAGACAACCAACATGGCGGGTTCAAGGACGACACGCTAATCATGGTCGTTATCACACAAGCGTTTGGCTTTTACTTTGCATGGGATACGGGACGGTACGGTACGGGACCTGGGAGAAGGGGCATATGGCATTTTGGTTAGGCTGGATAGATGGATGGAAAGGAACGACTTACAGGAGAGAATACTATTTCATATTTGCTAATAGAATACTACACATAACATCATCATCATCGCCCGCATCGTGACTGTTGTTGATGTTGATGTCGTCGTCAAGCCCGGTCAGGGGCAGGGAAAGTCCATTGCTTACGTAACTTACTCTGAAACACAACCCGAAGGTACGTACGTACCTGGGCAGTCTCCTAATCCCCATTCGGACCCGCTGTTAGTGCACCAGTCCATTTGGGTGGTCCGAGTGCTGTGCCTTTGCACTTGACCCTATCAGCTGGCCTAACAGAGACCGAAGAGAAGGAAACCCGGTTCATATGACGGAATCAGCTTTCCCGTCTGCCACTGGTTGTCCCTGTCCCGGCCAGTGGAGGAACAACTGAAAGCGAAGCGACCGAGTACATCCGACTTCCAAGCTTTTGGAGATAGTGCATCCTATTGTTGCTGTTCGAGATATCTACCTCACTGCCGATCTAAACTCTTTTGATTCTGCTTGTACGTGGATTTCCTTAACCTAAAGCTGCCGTTCCCTGAAATCTCTTGTACCCCAACCCGGTCGCGCGCGCGAGACATCGGACCCTTTCCCGTCGCTACCGTCCTCAATACGCGGATCTCGCACTCCATCTTCGATTCTCCTCGGATGGTTAGGCAGAATTCGCATCTTACGAACTTTGCTCAGCCTCCCGCCTCGATACTTCCCTACGCAATACCAGACAAACCGATCGTCGGACTCAAAATCAAAATACCCTTGACGGAACCCTGACCCGCTGACCTGCGTCGTTAGTTAGGTTGGACTATTGGACCTTGCCAACTGTCTAGCTTTCTAGCTTCTTTAGCTTCTCTTGCTTCTCTTGCTTCTCTAACCCGTCAGCCCGCTGAGCGGCCGATCGAACCGACTTACCTACCCCGGCCAGACCCCTCATAACAAACGTTCGGCTTTGCTATTCCCTCGACAACTTTCGAAAGAACAACATTGCGAAGCGGAGTATATACACCCGCCCGCCCGCTGTTCCGCCTCGTCGTTGACCTCATCAAACACCTCCGTCCTTAGAGGCATCTACACCGACACCCAAAACACAACCCACAAAATGCGCCCCCCAACAACCCCTTTAGCCGGCGCCGCCGTCTTACTTCTTGCCGGTAGCATTCCCTCAACAATCACAGCCGCTGTCGCCGCCGCCGCCGCCGCCGCCGCACCAAAACTATCTACAGAAGCCGCAGAAGTAATGAACTGCAAGGAGATTGTGGTGGACGGACACAAGTACAACTTTGGCGAGCTGGGCGGGCCACACACCGTGGTAACGAACGAGTACGACCCGCCGGCTTACTACAACTATACGTACACGTTGGATATCTGTGCGCCGCTGAAGAGGAAGGGGGATGTGAAGAAGGAGGAACAGTGTGCGGGGGATCTAGAGGTATGTTACCTCTCTGCTGCACGAAGGAACCAAGTGGGAAGAGATCAGTTCAGTAGGAAAGTGGAAAGCAGGAAAAGATGCTAACGAAACCTACAACCCAACAGTCTGCAGACTCAAACACCACTACTCCCCCTCAGACAAAAAGTCCACCTTCGAAACAGCCACCACCCTCGCCGGCGGCTCCTCCCTGCACTACGAAACCAGCAAGCTCGACTCATCGTCCGACCACAAAGACGGGGGCGTGAAGCTCACCTTCACGGGGTACAAGCACCAGTCGCGACAGCAAAAGGTGGTGATCAACTTCGTCTGCAATAAGACGCTTACCGGAACAGAAGGCGAGATCGAAGGTGAAGACCAATACGAGAAACCCAAGCTTCTATCCACAAGAGACGATGAGAAAAAAGAAGAGGGAGACGATGGATACCCCGAGACGCAAAAGAAAGTAGAGGGCGATAAGGCACAGGCGCTGTTGTGGAATGGGTATAAGCATGTTAGCGAGGATGTGGATTTGTTGGAGTTGACGTGGTATACCAAGTTTGCTTGCTTGGATGCTACTGGTGACAAGCCGAAGGATGGAGACGATAAGGATAAGCCCAAGGATGGTGACAAGCCAAAGGATGGAGACAAGGACGGCGGCGATAAGCCCAAGGACGGCGATAAGGATAAGGACGGCGGTGGCAACAAGGGTGGAAATGGAGAGGAGGATATCAATAAGAGCTGGGGATTCTTTACTTGGTTGGTTGTTCTGTGAGTTTTTCTCTTTCATTTTCCCTTTATTTTGTTCGAAACACAACTAACACCCCGAAAGCCTCTTCCTAGCCATAGCCGCCTACCTCATCTTCGGCTCCTGGCTCAACTACAACCGATACGGCGCGCGTGGTTGGGACCTCTTGCCGCATGGCGACACCATCCGCGACATCCCTTACCTGCTCAAGGACTGGACGAGACGGGTGTTGAATACCGTGCAGAGCAGTGGGAGTCGGGGAGGGTATTCGGCTGTTTAGGAGGGCCCGGTTGAGGGTCACAATAGGGGTAGAGATAGTATAGAGGTGGAGAGTTGGAGGGGACGTTGGATTGGTGATGATGAGGAGGAGGAGGAGGAAGCAGAGACGGGGTATGATAGGCTGTGGTAGCGGTTATGAGATAGTGGAGGGAGAATGAAGTAAGAAGCAGGATATGGCTTAAAGATGGGAGAGGAGGTACGCTACAGAACTACTGCTACTACTACTAAGGTACTGCTGCTGTAAGCTGTCAGGATGCACGATGCGGGGGATAAGTATTGCAGTTAAAGGACTCCTTTTTTTGATACAAGTACGCTAGGGATACATTTTCAGGATTGGCGTTTGGAATAATGGATAATCAATCAATCGCCTGGTAAACATGGCTTGCTTAAGGTGTGCTTGGCAATATCTCTAGTGTTGTTCTATCTCATAGTCAGTGGCGTCTCTACTTTCTGCGTATTTTATGAGCCGAACTGGGTTTTGAACGCTTGCATGACGGTTTCACGGTTCGGTTGCTCGATGACTTTTATCTTTGCCCCGGTAGAATCTCACTATTTGGTAGTTGAGATGTGTGGCCATTGTCGGTCAACCGTGAGCTGTTCAGGCGGGATGAGATGTCTGGCAAGGAATAAACATGTTGGCTCACCGAGTGAGTCACTACAAGATCCAAATCAAAAGGATTTGTTTGATTGATTTAGAAGACAAGAAAATTGCCAAGCAGATCTATAGATGGTGGTGCTGTGATCCCAAAAAGCTGGTTCTGTATCTATACCTCTTCCTTCTTGACGCTGAATCCTTCTCCGAGAACCATCCCGTTCCCTCTGCAACCTCTTCCTCTTTCCAACACAACTCAACACAATGCCCTCCCTAATCAACCGAAAACCCTTCCGATACACTAAAGCTTACTCAAAATCTCACCAACCCTCTTCTCCCCCACCTCCCTCCTCTTTTCCTCACTCTCATGCAGCGCTCTCACCCTCTCCTCCTCCTTGACATGTCCCTCCCCGGTCAAATACCCCTCCACACTCTCCCTATACATCTCCCCCTTCATAACCCCATAAATCCCACTCTTACATTTCTCCGTCAGCCTCCTCTCCTTAATCAATTTCAGTGTCTCCTCCATTCCTCCCGTAAGATCCACAATCCCCGCCTCCCTCGCCTCCTTCCCGCCAAACCTATGCGCCTCCAACGCCAACTTCCTATACGTCTGCGGGACGCACTTCAATCTGAAAATGGCGCTCATAGCCGGCTTCAGCGGCACCCCGAAATCAAGCTCATTCACGCACACAAATCCGCGCGAGGGGTTCATGACGCGGTAATCCATGTGCATTGCGAGCATTAGGCCGCCCGCGAAGGCGTGTCCGTTTAGTAAAGCGATGGTGGGCATGGGGTAGGTTAGGTATCTCCTAAAGAGGGCGTAGAGTTTGTCTGGGAGGAAGGAGGGGTCTGACAGGGCGTTTTCGAGGTCGAGACCGTTGCTGAAAAATTTGGGCAGGGAGGAGGTGGTTATTACTACGCCGGGGGGGAAGCGGTCGGGAGAGAATTCGAGGATGTCCAAGGCGGAGAGGAGGGTGGTGCATAATGTGTCGGTTAGACGGTTGTCGGGCGGGGAGGTGAGGGTTAGGATGTAAATCCTGGATCCTTCGGATGGGGTGGAGCAGGTGAGGTGGCCGCCGGGTTGGGAGGCGGAGGGGGCGATGGGGAGGGTGAAGAGGGTTTTTTGTTCGATTGCGGCGGCCATTTTGACGGTTGGTTGTGGTTGGTTGGTTGTGGTTTGGTGATATTGTTGGTGGTGTTGTGATGACGAGGTGTAGTTCGTTTAAGGTTCGGATGAGGGACGGGAACCTTGGCGGCAGGTGTTTCTTTGTTTGGTTGGTTGTTGCGAGTTGGTGGCGAACCGAATTGTCAAAGTGAGATAAGTAGTCCCGCAATGTAAAAGACCGTATGAATCGTTGATGTTGATGTTGATGTTTAGAGAGAAAACTGTCTTTATGTGAGACGGACGCATCAGTGGTGGGTGTACAGAGCCGTTGTACCTCGGCTTATTCGAGGTAGGGACGCGATTGGCACGGATTACTAAACTTACCGGCAGGCAGGCAGATCACCCGGACTTGGCAGATGGAATGCAACCTCGTTTTGATCTCAGTCCTCGTGAACTTCAAGAGTCTTCAAAAACGATACGCAAAAAGGGCGACTTTTGGTGTTGAGGTTTGAGTGGTAGTTGTCCTGGTTGTATCGACAGGCTCGAGCACCTGAGACGAGCCAAGTCCGACATGTGATACGTGGTCGGCCGAACAGTTCGGCTGACGTTCGGCACTGGGGGAAGGCTACGAGGGTACTTCAACCGGTGGCAACATGCGGCGGTAATGGTACTCTCAATCCGTTGACAACCTCTTTAGAAACTTGGACCAGGATCTATTGACCCTTTGTCTCGGGAAAAGGCTGAGCATACAATAACGAAGTCAAACAGTCCCCAGACCCCTTTCAGCATGTGTCCGGTTTTCATACATCAACGTTATCGGGCTATCAGATGGCTACCTTTGGCTGCGCGGGACATGTTAATGCGAGATCTGAATCATGAATGTGCTTGTATGCACTGTTCATCCCCAACCACTATAACCTGATCCCTAGGTCGGCTTACAGCTCAAACGACTGATCATTACAACGAAAAAGAACTTCCAGTCTTGCTGTCACTGTCCTACCATCACGGCTCGCTGCCAAAGGTACATCAAAGGTCCTGGCTGCCGGCGTTATTGGTAGATGCCCCGTGATGTTTACGGCGGGTGCACGCCGTACCAACAGCCGCCAAGACCCCGGAGGACCAACACGGCAGGCACGTGCGAAGAGCTTCTTTTAACGTCAAAGTCGTTCTTTCCCGACTTTCGTCTTCATCAGTTGCGCCTACAAGTACGTCACTGCTCATTTAACTCTCGCTACCTGCATCTTCCACTTCCTCTTTTCCCCTCTTCAACCATCTCCCTCCACCATCGGTCCCATCCTTTCCTTTCTATTTTCAACCGGCGGTCAAGAGTTGGCAACCACTGTTGGCACGGCTCGGCCGTTACTGCGCAGACCAACCAACAACCCGTTTTGCACTATCGGCTTCTTTGAGGCGGCGACCTTTGAGGCGACTACCAACTCATTGCTATGAAACTGGAGCTTTCGCAATGACTAAATACGAACGAGCAACGGAAAACCAACGGTTGAGTCTCGTATTCTACAACGTTAGTACGATCAAGTTGGAAAGCAGGAAACCAACAGTTGTTCGACTACACTCTTTTCTTTCTTTGCCCTTCACTCTTTTCTTCTTTGCTCTTCACTCTTTTCTTCTTTGTTCTTCACTCTTTTTCTCTTTACTCACATTTCACCTTCTCTGTCATCTTCATCCCGTTTTGTTCGTTCATTGTCACCCCTCACCCTGTCGATTGGTTCTGACTCTTTCACATACGTTTGCGACCACCACGGTTCAAGCCCAAAATGCAGTAACATTGACTAAGGTACCTAATCCTCTGGTGGTAGGCAGGCAGGCTGTCCTCGATTCCTCGTGAAGTCCCTGGAAAGAGACGAGTGCCGTGCGCTATCCAGCCAGTCCTGCTGGCCCGATCCTGCCCAAATTCAGCCCATACCGTTCAAGACTTCAAGTCTCCTGCAATCCACCTAATTCCCTTCATTTGCCTGTTCCTTCCCATTCACTCGTTCCACTCTCATTCTAATTAGGCACTATCCGCCATCACCTCCAGTGCTTCTTTCGCTATATCTTGCCAGACCTTGGCGCGTTCAGCGTCGGTCATCTTGTCCATTTCCTCCAGTTTCCACTTGCGTTCTCTGATCTCCCGCACAGCAGGCAGATCGCAAGTGAAGTCCTCCGGCACGACCGGCATTTCGGTTGAATCCGACTGGCTGAGTGCGGCACGCGGCTCTTCCTCGGTTGCCCACATGCGTGGATCGGGAATGCGCTCCGGCCGGACATGCTTGTTCTTTTCGAGTGGACGGGGAATGATCTCGTTCTTGGCGTCCATCAACGGCAGGGCCAAATCTTCTTGACAAGAAGGAGTTGGTCCGTAGCTGTTGTTTGGTGGTGTTGTTGGTCAGTACTTGTACGTTTCAATGAAACGAGGCAGGGTCACTTACACCTATTCTTGTCCTCAACCTTGCCCTTGTAATTTGCATTAACCTCAAAATTCTTAGCCACCTTCAACTGCCCCAACCACCGATTCTTCTTCACGCAATGCGAGCGCACTTTCTCCAACTCCTTTGTGTGCTCAATCCCCACATCAATGACGTACCTAAACTTGCCGTCCTTTGGGAAGACAAGTTGGTCCAGCAAAAAACACACCGCATTCGGGTCCTCCATAAAGTTCTTCCTGTCATAAGTAGCACACTCCAGTCCCTCTCTCTCAAACCTGATCGATTGGATGGTATGATCAGGTACGCGAGGAGTTACGCTTGGAGCGGTGTCTTCCTCTACGGGGTACACGCGGACGGAGATGAACACGGCTTCGCCATATGTCCTCGGGTCCGGCTTTGGATAGACGCGAACCAAGCAGCCGTCATGGGCGGGAACGTTCTCCTTCGGGCGGATCTCCGGGGGGAAGTCAACGAGGAGCTGGGCTTTGACATTTCGAGCATTTTACCATCTCTAATGCCGCAGATGGGGTTGGGATCTCGGCACCATGTGGCTGGGTGCGATTCTTCCCAAGCGGGACACCATTTGGCAAGGTTCGGTTTGTGTTGTGCTATGCGACCGGATAGGTCATCTGCGGGTTCTGTCTCATGGAGAGGGCGGTCAACGGTGGAGGTGGATGTGGAGATGGAGTTTTCTGAATCTGAAATCTCCATCTCGATGTCGCGCCGTTGTCGTTGATCTGAAGTACCCGGATCGATGATAAATTGCTGTGAACCCAGGATGGATCGCTATGAATCAGACATCACGGAGTAATCCCTCATTGAGATATCTGAGATCTCAGAATCATCCATCATCGCGGCCTGAAATTCCTCATCCCCAAAATCAGATATCGTTGTTAGTTTAGTTGGTGTGGTCTCTTGGGAGTGTCTTCTGTGGATAGTGGGATAAAGTAAGTGGTCTTTGGACTTGGGATGATGATGTTGACTGGAAAGGATGGGAAAGGCGTTCGAAACCGAGACATATATACACTCCTTTGGAGATCCGTCAAGCGCTATATCCGCTCAAGGGGTTTTTACACTTCACTTGAACATCATCGTGTTAGTAATTTGGATATCGATGGTGAGTTCTCGATTTCTTTCAGCATTATATGAATCCTGCTCTTCGTGCCGACATACAGAACGTTGGTGACTGCCTCAGGATCCACTGGCTGTCTTCACTGGAAGGATAGTACTTTGGAGACTAATGGTTAGTTCACGGTTTCTTTCACTATTATTGCCCTTCGCGCCGACAGAGGAAGCTCGGTGACTGGCTTCACGATCAGCCATTGGCTAGCTCGGCTGAAAGTTTTTGCACTTCAGTTGAACATCCTCGTGCTGGTCATTTAAACTTTGATGGTTAGTTCCCGATCTCTTTCATCGTTATATGAACCCTTCTCCTTCACGGCGACAGCACAGAGGAACTCGGTGACCGCTTCACGAATCACGGTCAACCATTGTCTATCTTCGCTGAAAAGGTTTTTACACTTCCTGACAAGATTCTCTTGTTGGTAATTTAGGAAGTGGTCGTATCCTTTCTTGTTCTTTCCCCTTTTGATCCTTAGACGCAGTCTCTCCTTCTCGGCCCCATAATGAGAGCTGGCAACAGCTCCAGGCACATCGTTAGTTCCGTTCCGTTCAGCATCCAGCCAACTACTTTGTCTGTCTGAGTCGCGCCAACAAACTTGCGCTGTACGATGGATGGTATATTAAAAATCATCAACGCCGCGGCGACGAAGCTTGGTAGGTAAGTTAGCTCTTGCAATCAGTTTGCAATCTATCATTTACACTCTATGGTACCTACCTTTCCCGGTCACACGGTCACACGTTTCAGCAGGTCATTTCTCGATTCCATCCATCACCATACCTAGCTAGTACCTATGGTACGTACCAATGCTTCTTCCACAGGGCAGTCCCACTACTCGCTGTCCTCACCGACACAGGGGAATGGGGATTCTGTGACTTGCTCCAAACATGTCTGTCGTTGCCCGGTTCGGTCAACACTCATTCACCTTTTCAATGCAGTACTTCCTCCCAGCCGTGCAGCCGTGCCAACAAATTGCGCTGCAAGTCTACCATAACCGCTACACGATACTTGACAAAACCACCTACTCACCAGGGGCAAGAAATGCCTCGGACCCCACGCACGCACGAGTAAATTTGTCAAAGACCCCTACCAGTAATTTTTATTTCTTTGCTGCAACCTAAGCGCTCAGCCAAGCCATCCTTCCATGACATGATCCAGAGTTCAAGATAAGTAGGTACTCTCCTCCCAGGCTCCAATTCAAGTACACCCACCCCTCGTAATATCGATACAGAACACCCAACAACAAACCCAGACGACTTCCCAGTTCCCACCGCTCGAAACATTCACCACCTTTGCGCTATGATACAAGGAAGGGAGGGCTGAGCATTTTGAGAGCCGAGACATCTTCGGATGGCCCTGACGTTTGATACGTTTGATACGAGGGAATGACACCTCACGAAACTGTCTGTCCGATGAACGTTCGGCGGCGAAATGAAGACTTCCCACCGTAACCAACCATAACGACTGGACCTGACCGTGGCGAACCCCCGGGACGATTACATTTACAGCCACATGCTCCGTCCGTGTCGGTGTCGCGGTGTCAGTCAACCATGTACGCCAACAGCAACAGATGGGAGTTTCATCATCATGATCATGATCACTTGCATTGATATCTCAGCCCTGTCTTGTTTACTTTTTTCACTAGAGGCACCTTATTTCTTTTTCTTTCTGTTCTTGAAAACAGCACGAATATTGTACTTCAAGATTTGAGGGCCTGCGCTTTTCCTTACTCATTTTTCATTCTCTGTTCCCTTCTTTGCTCTCCTGCTTCCTTATTCTTTTTTTTCCCCTTTTCAGGGGTTTCGGGTTCTCTTTTAGTTTCAGATGTCAGTGGTCTTAGATCTTTCAAATCATGCGACGAAGTTTCCCAGGGAATCAAGCCCTTCTCGGTCAGGCCTACGTTATCGACGCCGACCACCTCAGGTGAGCCTGACAAGTATCGGTTCTCCTCGAAGAGCAAAATTTACTCATCTGTAAGAACTATGCCGCTTTCTAAACATACTTCAATACGCTAGTTAACACTTCCATCTCATCAACTAGACTCTCTTCCCTTCTCAACTGCCCACAAAATCCTGCCTTCCACCACTTGCCAAGGAGCAAATCAAACCCATCCTCTCTGATGCTCAAGCAGATGCCTTTTAAGGCAGAAAACATAGGGGAAAAAAACGAGACAACTGCTCCCTTCTAGTCCCAAAACCTTGACCCTTCCGCTGATATAGTGTTCCTTCAGTCAATCACCTTGCCACTAGCGCATCATATCGCCTTTTCCTCCTCTGTAACCCCAGTCCAAATCAGCCGGGCAATGCCCCTTCTCTACTCCTTAGTCTTCGAATCATGGACCTCAGTATCGGAAGGAGATGATTGACCACCGGACGAGTATTGTTCGCGTCTCGCCCATCCTCGGGCGGGATCATAGTCTTCAACTTGAGGTTGGAGTGCTTGGGGGTAGTTGTCGCCATCGATTTTGCCCTGCGTATGAGCTGGGATTTGGCTTGGAGTATGTGCTGAGGTCTCTGCCTTGGTTTGGCACTGGGGGTTGTCATGGCCTAAACCATAGGGCTCAGAAGGAGATGCCTCACAGCCTGAAAAGTTCTCCTGGCTTCTTCGACCCACATGGAATTGGACATGGGGTTGGACGTTTGTGGGATAGTTGTGCACATAGACCTGGCTCTGGGTAAATGCTGAGATTTCCGCCTCATTTTGGCCCTGGGGGACTTGAATATGGCACTGGGCGTGTGGTTGAAATTCAGTCTGATTTTGGACCGGGGCGAATTCGATTTGGCATCCGACGCGTGGTTGAACTTCAACCTGGGTACGGAGCCCATTCTGAACCTGGATTTGGGCCGGAATCTGGGGTTGGATATTGTATGGTTGAAGGTATGGTTGGATTCGCGGATGTCTTTGGGCCTCAGCGTAGGCTGGAGTTTGGGTCTGGGCATAGTCTTCGATTTCCTCCTCGGTAGGTGGAATAGGCTGGGCAAAGGCTTCGGTTTGACCTGCGACATGGGCTGAGGCTTGGGCGAGAGATTGGGCTTGATGCTCTCCCTGGAACGCCAACAACCCCCTCTCCAGGTGCCATAGCTCCTCAGTGTAAAACTTCCTTGTATGGATAATCTCTTCAATCCGCAAGTTTTGGTGTTCGCCTGTTTCGCACAAAGTCAACGTCTGCGAAATAAAGTCGAAAACACTTCAGCCAAAATGTCAGGAAGTGGGTAGGTACTCACTCAAATAGTCAACAGCACAAAATTGAGTCCATTGTGGCTGACACCCCACATTCACTTTGTACCCAAACTCCAACACTCCAGCTTTGTAGCCACCACTATAGCAACCGTACAGCCTTTTCATCTCCTCAACGTCACCGGGATATGTCCCCATCGGCCACAGATGCAAGGGCGGGAACCTGTTATCTTGGTCGTCCCAGTACTCGTCCACCACCACATCGAATAGGACTCGGTAGTTTCCCGGGTTGCACGGGAACCGCACGTTTTGAAACACGAAGTACAATGTCTCCATGTTCATGTCTAGACGGCCGAATGCGGAGCTGACGTCTTCGATCACCTGCTTGTCGCGAGGGATAGGGACCCAGACCGTATTAGCGTCCATGGCGGCGGCAATGTCGGTGTAGGTATCTTTGTTCTCCTCGACCATGACTTCTTCATCCATGTCCATGTCCTCGTCCTCGTGCTTGACGGTTTTCTTATCCGTGTCTGGGTCAGATATTTCCATCTCTTTGATGGCACCGAGTTTCTGTTGGGCCGCAATCTTGGAGTGACGAGCGGGCATGTATCGCGTTGGGTGGACGGTCTTTTGCTGGAAATCTATCCGCTGTCCATAAGATGGATGTACAAGCGCGTCTTGCGGGATAATGTTGCCTATGAGAAGGTTAGTCAGGCGTGAGAACGATTTGCTTGAGAGTATCTATCTCGTCGATGTTGGGCTGTGTCCGCAGAGTGCATGGAAAAGCAGGAGGAAGAAGTAGTAAGAGACAGTATCCAACTCTTCTCTGGTCATGCTCGGTGTCCTCCAGTGGCATAGGTAAGGGATGAGGCAGGGTCAAGGGTGGCGGGATTGAGGATCGGATATGCTGTCATTTCCACTTTACCTTTATCCGGGTAGTTATTTCTGCGATCCATGCGATGTATCATATTACCGTCTTCGTCCACCTTTTCTACCGACTGCATCACCGTCTCATCCTGTTGCTCCATATTTTCCTTTTGCTGTTCTTCATCTTCTTCGATCATGACCATCTTCATGTGCACTGCGGTGATTCCCTAGAGCCGCGGGTCTGGTCGCGGGGTCATGGTAACAAGGGCGGCATATTCGACCACCGCGCCGGAGACCGCTGGGTTCCGAGGAGGGATGACGAGTTTAGCGGTGACGGGGGTGCCATCTTCGCCTCGGATGATGGGCTGAGGGCGGTCGAACAAAGTCTTGTGAAGGCGGTAGGGAACTTCATATGGCGAGAGGTGGGGGCTGTACCATTTGCCGTAGCTGCCCATCTTGACGGCGGCTCTGTTTGGTTGGGTGTCGAGTGGGTGGCGAAATAAATTTGAATGGATGAAGTGGTAATACTGTGATGTCGATGTTTGTTGTGAGAATACAGACAAGTAAGTTGATGTAGCTGCGTAGGTTCACTCGTGTCACAGGGAGCAGTGCAGCAAAGCAAAAAGTTGGGTGGCCACCGTGCTTTAATCAAGCATCCTCTTGTAGGTAGGGACAGGACGAGCGACAAGGAGAAAAGCCAAGAATGCAGTAACAAATAACGCTCCCAATCCCAGAGCAACTTCCGAGGGTAGTTGTCTACCTGTCATGTCTTCCATGTTTGGACGGACACTGACTCCTGCCAATGTCGATACCCGTTTGATGAAACGTCTTCATGTGAAAGAGACAGGCGGTTCCTTCCAGGATCAGTGTCCGTTCTTTTCTAAAAGAAGCATGGGAGTGGTCACCAAGCCAGTCCGGCTGAATAACGGCTCCTTCCCATCCGACTCCTGCTATCCTATTTCCTATTGCCTTCGTGTCTTGTTCCCTCCTGGGTTTGATGACACACCTCAATTGAGGTGACCAATGTCGCTTCCATGTCGCGAGAACAGAGTCACCGTGGACCACAGTTTGCTGGATGTCACTTTCCAACACTGCATCATCCTTCGTTACTGTAGACTTGGACTGTCGCCTCCTCCTGAAGTTTGTTGATATGCTCCGAACCCTCCGGTTCCTCCTCATAATTAACCCACAACTCTTCACCTTGCATCGGATTCTCGGGTAAATCAACAGATTCCCTCCTTTGCAGTTGATCTATGTTCCACACCAGTCAGCAAGATATATTTGACCACGCGCAGATCCATTGGCGTATGGTATCATGTTCCAGTCGTGAATAGTTAGGTTGTCAAATGGTTTCTGCAAATGACAGACTTACGGTCAAAATATTGCCCCCTGAACTCTTCATCGACGTGGGTGACCCCGCCAACTACCAAAACACCCGCGCAGAACCCAGTTCTCTGATACCGGTCACGCCATTCCCCTGAAGTCCCCTCGATTATTTCCTCTGGAGCATTATGTGCCCAAAGGTGTGGAGGCGGCCAATTCTGTAGGGGGGTTTCTCTCGGGTCGTAATATTCCGTCACGTTGACTTCGAACCTGACCTCGAACTTGCCTGCTTCCGGGAAGGCAACATCCTGGAACTTGAACAAGAAATACTCAATGTCCTCGAGGAATTCTGCGCTCTCTCTCCAGGCAACATCTTGCGTGGCAAGAATAATGTCGGCGTTCTTGTCGACTGGGTCCACCAAGGGGTTTTCCCGAGCTGGGAAAGCTATCATGCGACACACTGTCTTCACCCACCTTGGATGGGGAGGAGGCTGTAGCTTGATCATTGCTGCCAGTTCCATTTTCTCCCCCGGTGCAATGCGGGACGGAGGCCAGACTTCCAGTCCAGCGTAGACGTAGGTTTTGTTCAGACCGAAGATCCGCGGCTGGGGCTTGTCTCCAGCCAAGGTGGAATACATTGGGTATTCGTCACACCGAGGGTGAAAAAATGGGGCCTTGAATGGGCCACAAGGCTGATAATCGGAATCCATTTCCATTTTGTCGAAGTTGAACTCGGTTAGATGGGCGATTTGAGATTGTCAGGATCCATGCTGCCACTACTGCCTCACCCATCGTCATATATACCTCCAGATATCTCAATCAAGGAGGTACTATGGCCATCATGGACACTTCAAAAAATTTCACACGTCCGTCTAACACATTCATGTCAGTTGAAGTGTCATCAATTACACTGGAATTATCAGGAACGCTGAAGAGACTACGAGATTGGAGTCTCATCTGGTTATCCCCATCATAACAAAGGCCTGTCATTCATCGGCCTTTGTACCGCAAGCCCGAGCACTGGTTAACGATCAATGACAGTGGAAAGTTCTTAGTTGAGGGAGGTATACATCTGTAGTCAAGAGCACGCAGATATGGCAAAGAGAGGACATGGACGGTGTGCACCGTTGTTTGAGCGCAATGGAGTAATAGAAGCTAATGATAAGGCCGGAAAGGTATAACATCAGTGTTTCATCGTGCAAATGCACGGCGATGATGTGATTTGGCCATCTGAGCCGTGCCAACAGCGATATTTTATCCCAAACCTCGTGATGCTCTCATACCCTACCATTATGTGCTTGATTTATTCACCTACCCTCAACATCTCTTTGCTGCTAGATGCATTGTGTATTCTATAGAACTACCTGTAAGATTCTTGGGGTCTCAAACCGGAATGGAGGCACAAGCGAGTTCAAGTGCTGGATACCTTGAGGTTGTTCTGGACGTCAATACCAATCTCTCCATTGCTGGTACGATGGATAAATGGCAATGACAGAACAAAAGGGGAGAGGGATTGGTGAACAAGCATGGTAACTCTTGGATGATCACTTTCCTTTTGAAGGGGAGGGGAACTAGAATTAGGAGCGATATATGTCTTTTTACCTGGTTCCGCCGCAGAGCCTCCGTCGACACATTGAAGAACAGTGACTACTAGTGTTCCCGGGTTCCGGGGGGCAGGCAAGGTGCAATTTCTTCCCCAGGCAATGAAAGGCTGGATTCCACTTCTGGGTTGTTGCGAACGTCAGGCGGGATTATTTGTTGGGCTTTCGCACGGAGAGGAGTCGCAAATGGAGGTGTAAGGGAGTTGCAGATGGTAGAATTTTCTGGAGACGCATACGGGAGTGAAATGGGGGTCAAATGGGTAGTAGCAGATAGACTAACAGAAATGTGCACCAAGATGTTAAGCTTAACGATCTTTCCAGGGCAAAAAGAACAGAATTCGACCAAGAAAATTACCTGGTAAGGTGAAGCATATAAGTGGCCCCGTTTCACTAGAAGGTGCAAAACGAGAAATGCAGTAACATTGTCCGTCCTATTTCATTGCCTCACACAAAACATACCTGAATACGTTGCAGATCAGTGACCTAGCCAGTCCAGCTGGCCCCAGCTTCAACCAGACCATCCTTACTCGCCCTACATATGTTTGCCCTCTCCTGGCCGCATTGCTTCCGGCATCCCACATGCAAAATTCGATCAATGGTTTCCTGTCCAAAATTATCCACGCCGTACTCTTGATCGTCACCGTGGCTTCTCCTCATAGTCCCTGAAAGTTCTCAAGTGGAGCTCCCTGTAGAAAGACAAAGGGGTGCCCACGATTTTGGTTTCCTCAAGCTTTTGGACGAGCGCTTCTTGCTGCTCAGCTGTTATTTTCAGAAACAAATGGTCAGCTACAATGTTACTCTAAGAATGTGGAATGTGACATAGACTGATGGACCTGATGGCTGGGTAGGGGCAACTTACTTAAGGTATTTCCCTTCTGCACCTCACCTTCATCTTCCGGCCTCATGTCTATCTATACAGAAGGCGTGAAGACCCCCGCCGTGTAATAAACCGTTGTATCGTAGAAATCCATTGATCCACAGGTTTTCCGGCAGGTGGTATACTCCATAAGCAATCTGTCCATCGTACCGGCAGCTGAGCTTGGTGTACGTATGGATATATACCCGGAACTCTAACTTGATCTTGCCGCCCCGGTTGATAGGCTTGCCACCTATGAGGAAGTATAGGAAGTCTCCTTTGCCATCGATGTTCAATTTTCGAGCAGCGTACATCCATTCGGAATACTCCTCAAAGACACCAAGCCCCGCGCAACCCGGTCGTGAAACAATCCTCCAATGACCCATGGGAAGTAATAGAATTATTATCATCACGAGCGTCTCCACGACAGTCGTCATCACCAGTATTTTCCTCACAAATCGACCCGCAACTAGGAGAGGATGAAGGCCTTCCCGCAGATAAGAATGTCGTTCTGACGATGACATAACTGGCGAGCAACCAGACCTTCGGGTCAGGTATCGCCAACTTAAGCACGCCTAGGGATTTGATGAATGCGCCTTGAGAAACTCGATCGTGGGGTGGAACTACAAGCTCAGTTTTGAGACAGGTGCCTGATATGTCGTTGATGATTGGATAGGGCTGGTCAAGATATTCAGGGCCAGGAAACCATTCTCCAGCAGGGCTTTGAGGTTCCATCTTGTCAGGGTTGTTCTCTTTTTCTCTTGTGTCGAAATGAAGATGGTGTGATTGTGTGGTAATGGCGTAGGTAGAGGGTGGTGTGATGGCGCTCGTGGTGTACGGTGTCATCACTCGAGATTAGCGTAACTGGTTAGGGCAACGAGCCAGTTATATAGAAGAACTGAGCGGCAAGATCAAAGCCAGAGGGATGACCAAAAGATCATTTGACCTGTAGCCGGCATCCTAACGTTGGCTGCTACGAACATCGCGCCCATTGCCCAGCGTGCAGGTAGCGCCGGTCGCCTCGTGCTGAGCTCACATGCTTGTTTTCGTGGAATATTAAGCGCCGTAATGACGCTGGTGTCCAAGAGTGGGAGTTGAAATAGTGTATCAGATATGTCGTTGATGCTCCAGACTCTGAGCCGTGTCGATGTTGGGCTGGAGCTCCGAGGAAATCGTCCCGATTGAGGGTAGCAGGAGGCTCCAAGGCTAGGAGGTACTTGGCCCCTGTTAAGGCCAGGCGCACTTTAACTGCTTCCCACTAACAGACATGGTGGCCGTGATTTCCCAACCACCGTATGCTGGTGCGGGATCATTCATGCCAACAACAAAAGGCATTCTTTGTCCACGCTGCTGGGAAGGGAGATAAGCGCTTTCCATACCGGACTGTTGGTTCCCAAACAAATTTTGAATTGAAAGGACCTGACCGAATTGACAGATTGCTGGGAATTGGGAAGCGCTGGTTGTGCGGGAAGTTGGGGTTTAGAGAAAGAGACGGTCTGGCAGCAGATGGCGACCAAAGCACGGCCGCTTCGTTAACACACATGCTCACTCTTAGATGCATACCGTATTTCATTGGACAATGTGTTAACTCGTTTATCCAGGCAAAAATTTGTTGTTGGGGAAGCAATGTTAAAGTGTCAGAGTGTCCAACAAGCCTAGTTTCTTCCGAATGGGCCGACCTCAGCTACAACAAGACGCAACGCCCTCCATTGGAAACTGAAAAGGGCAACAGTGACTGAGAGTCCTTCCTTCCATTACCCGTTTATCAAATAACTGTTTTGTGTGTTGCGTTACCGTTTTTCTGGCAAGTAAGATAAGAGTGTCCACCGTGACTCCTGCATGCGAAAATGAGGCATGCACATCCTCTTTTTCTGTCGGTGCATCGCGCGGGCGGGAGTCCAAGCGAGATCAATGCCTAGGGCAACGAACCAAAAGCAGCACCAATCCTTTTCATCAACCGTGTTGACATCTCAATCAATAACTCAACCAAAATGCTCACAGGAGGTACGTCAAAGCTGTGGTCAAATGAGTGTGTTTCTAACAAAGCCAAAAATGCAGTAACATCAACTATCCCAGCCCGTTCTCCAGCGGAGAGGGTCGGGCTTCGAGATCTTGAACACAGTTACGCATGGGATGTTTGTGTCTTTGGAAACTTGATCGGGGGGCGGGACAATCAGCCCACCATCAACATGTCTGTCGGATTTGCTCTGGTTGACGAATGGATTGATGGGTTTGCGATTGTTGTCTTGAATGCCGAAGCCGGGACAGACCTGCCCCGCTTCTATCTTAATTCCTCGGTTGGAAACCATGTTGAAATCGTCTAGGTTTTGTATGGCTCGTGGGTGAAATGACGGTTGCGATGTTATTGATGGGAACAACAGATCTCAACCGCTGGGTTCTCTCACCATATTTATATCCCAATCCCGCGGTGGAGAGCCACTGATATCAACCTACTGGATTTTACACTTCAACCCAACATCACCACGTTGGCTATTCCGAGTGAACATCTTCTCCCTCTTCCGGTGCGTGAGTAGCGCCGGAAACATCGGCATACGGTCAGAACCCCTCTCGTCGGTACCTAGATGTCATGACGATGCCAAATGGGAAAAGTCGGTCGTTGTATTGGGCGGGTTGTTGGACCTCGAATTATCCGTGCCATACCAACACTCGATTCGGACCTGATGAGAAGCTCACGTCTCCCCTTGATCTGGTGCTGTCAAATGTCAACATTGCCCTAACATGCCCAAATCGTCAAAGGTTGGTGGGAGACGTACCGATCTAAGAGCGTCTTGTTGGTGTTGAACCAACGCTCGATTCGACCAAGAAAATGAGATCATGGCTTCCCTTGATCGGAGTTACATGCCATAGTCTTCCTGAGCGCATCAAAATATCCAATTGATGATGATTTCTTCCAGACGGGTCGTTGGCTTCCAACCCCTGAACCGTGCGAATACTCCGAACCATTGAGCATGGCAACATCTTGCATCCGGTCAAGCACCCTGATGTTTGTTTGTCTACTCCGTCAGATTTTGGCGACAAAAGCTGGGATATACTGTCCTGTATGCATGAAAATTGGTAAAGTAGTCCACAGTCAAGATCCAGCACCGAAGCTGTATTTGGTGATCCTCCTCACTGCGTTGTCATCGGTATGAGGAGCAAAATCCTGGTTGTCACATGGAAATATCGAAAGCATTGACAAGCCGAGAAGAGACAACCAGATTTCTATTAGGTATCCTACCTGATTCCGTCGCCTAAGCATTCCCGTGCAGTCTAATGAGAGATCCTGAGCACCAACCGAGACCACAATACAAAGCCACCAACTGCCTCTTCCAACTCCTACTGCGCCGCATAGCATACCCCTACCATCTCTTTCACAACCCTCAACCTACGGTTTCGAGGAATGAGCGACCCGCCCAAGATATCAGTCCAACTGGACCATTCATCATTCCTGCTATTTTCTACCTTACACTCCCGCCAGACTCATGTCGTCACCCGTTCTTGCTCACTTCCCGAACTTCCAGTCGAGCTGCCCAACGGCCTCTTCTTTTCCTCGGATCTCTTGCTTCCCCTGCTTTCACTTGAACCGATCGAAAGCTCTCGCTCTCTTCTAGCTTGCTCACTCCTGGCTCGCCTTCTTTTCTCTCGCTTACTTCCCTTGCTTTCACTTGACCCGGTTAAAGGCGATCTTTTCACACCTGGGGACAATGATCCAGAGAGTGTCGCCGTTTTCATCTCGCGCCACGGCTCGATCTTCTTCCCGTTCTTCTCAAGGAAATCAATAATCTGCATGTGAGTTTCATCTTTCGATTTCAGAATTAGTTGGATGTCGCTGACCAAAAAGAGCAAGAGGAAGGTAGGTAGTCTACACTCACTAATCTCGTACGGCATTTCCAAATTTTCGTTCACCTCCGTGCACGACCTAACGTCCAGAAACCCCACGAGGTAACCCTCGAAGAATCCATCACCGAATGTCGTGAGATCAGTTCCCATTGGCCATAACTCAGCAGGTGGACGATACCCATTCCGATCGTCCCAATACCTGTCAACCCAGACATCGAACCTGACTCGATATTTTCCGGCGCCTTTGGGAAACCTGACGTCCTTGAAGATAAAGTACAAGACGTCCGGATCTGACTCAATCTCGATACCACCTTCCGCTTCGCCAATGTCCGGTTCCAGCCAGCCATCGGGCTCGGTCTCCTCATCGCTGCTGTCGCTATCCTCATCTATGAACAATTCACCTTCTCCACAAGCCTCGTCTTCTTCCTCCGGAACGGGATTGACCGTCATGTAGATGTCGAGCCCCTTCCAGCATGGCTTTGGCCTCGGCTTTACTCTGACCACGGCTCCGTATTTGACCTTACCGCCTGGATTCAATCGATTGGGCGGCGGAACGATGAGTTGAGCCTGGACGGGATCGTCTGCCATACCCCAAATGAAGGGCTCAGGGTCATCTGAGCCCACGTTGTGCTGACTGTACCCATCGCCCTCGGTTTCTTGGTCGAACCAGTCGGCTAGTTTCGTGTTGTACCAGGAAGGAAGCGTTGGATCGGCAATGTTCGCCATCGTGTTCGAAGTATATGATGATACGAAAGTGGAGGTTACTTAAAGTGACGAACGCTCTGTGATGGTTTCTGGACATATCATACCATATCTGACAGAGGTGGCCCCTTTATAGCTCAAGTGAAGTAACCTATCAAGCCTCTGATGACAATTCCAGGAGTATCTACAATTCCCTCCAAGAAGCCGGCGTTTCTTATGATAACATTCACCTCTCCAGACGGCAATGATCAAGGCAAAGGCTTTGACCGCAACAAGCATTCTGACTGAAACTTGTCGCAGTCAACGGAGTCGTGCAAAACAATGAATCAATAGAAAGCATGTAACTTCAACGTCAAATCGAATTGAGGAAAGAACATTGACTAACCCATATCTGCTAGTAAAGACCGTCTTCCTGTCAAGTAACTGACCAGGCCGCCTAACTTTGCCCGCATACCGCAGTTAGGGTAAAAAAAGACAAACCCAAGACTGCCAACCGAAAACCGACATCCAAAGAGACTAACTTCCACTTCCAACCGTTCCCGTCTGCAGAACCCATCTCACATGTCTTCCAAGGATGATCGACTACCCGCGATGCCAGTCCACCTGGCCCGTCTGTCCCCGTTCCAGAAAATTCCAACTCCTGACACGTCCCGTTCTGCCTACCTGTTTAAACACGAAGTGTCCTTTGGTCTTGTTGTTCCCTTTGGTGACTTTATAGATGCATTGGGGAGTTTCAACGCCAACCTCATCGAGAGAACTGACCGTGATGTAAAAGCTACCTGTGGTAGTAGGCTGGACGTTGTAGTGCCTACGCAGTGGGAAGATCTTGCCCACGGGCTTTGATGTCCCCCATTTTTAGAAGGACGTTGGGGCCTTGAATAACAAGTCAGCACACAGAGTGGTCATAGCGGAAAGGGTGTTACAACATGGTAATCAACCCAGAGAACAACTGGAGAGAGTGAGTTGTGATTGTAGGTAGTGAACTGGGACTTACTATAAGCAATCTTACCTCCCACTTCCTCGGTCGACATACCAGAGGTAGCCTTGACTGTTCTCTGGGTGTGGACTTTCAACAACCCGCCACGTAGCCGGAGTCAAAAGTAGTGCATATCGTTTCTGGCCAGCGATAGCGGAGACATGTTCCCTCCCGGCCAAAGTGTGCAAGGCGGGAAACCCGCAGCGGGCCCAGCCGGACAGGTCATTCGGATCCTTGTAATGCTTGACCACGACCCAAAAGTACAGGTTGTACATGTCATCTGTGGGCACCACGAAATCCTCAAAGAGGAAGTACAAGGGTCCATTTGCTGACTCAGGAAGGACTTTCCCATCAGTGATCTGATCAATGGGAAGCACGTCCTTGGTATTCTATGCTTGCATCTTAACTTGGAGTTTCCGCCAGTTGGGATGAGGTCTCGAGTTTATCTCAACTAGGGTTGCGGGGGATATGGACCCTTCGGGATGAAGCATGGGGGTTTCAGGGAACAGGTAAGTGAGCTTCGCCGAGATGCGTTTCGGGTTGTTGGATGCGTCGAGGATATATGGCTGGGGCTTTTCTGCGATATAGAAAGGACCATGGGGGTTATCTGGGAAGTACCATGTAACTGCCTCGGGGGTCGATTGGGATTAAAGTGTTGATGATGCTGTCTGGATGTCTGGATGTCTGGATGTCTGGATGTCTGGATGTCTGGATGTCTGGATGTCTGGATGTCTGTCTGGATACCTCTGGATGCAGACCAGACCATCTCTTAAATAGAAATCATGGTCGGGGACCCTGAGGTGTTGAGACGAGAGTCCTCGAACCGATAACGGCGATAATTCTTTGACTTGCTTAGACCGGGTAGCTTTTGTTGAAAAGATGTTATGCGTTTAGGCGCGTCCGTAACCCCGTGGTCTCCGTACTGTCCTAGACAATCTTTCTCTTCTTGGTAACACCGAAGGGCATCACTGGTACCTACCTCTAGCATCCGATCAATGAACATTTTCGCCGAGTATACTGTTTTGACGCCCAGTCATTTGGTATCTGATACGGAGCCCACCGGTCATTTCGGTGATGGAGGCCGGGGAGTGTGCTTCGGTGTAAGCTGGGGAGCATTGTAAGGTAGACTTAGGCCGGTGAGGGCGATGGTTACAAATGTTTTGACCTCCGAAACTGTATTGTTAAAATAGACTCTGGTACCAGATACTTCTTACCTCAATCACATGGTGCTGTTATAGCGTTATGCTCGCTATCGTGTAATGATTGCCCTCGAGATACCCTGTTTTTGCAATTACTTACATTGTCAGCGTTGTTCTCAAGAGTACCTACATATGTCGCCAGTCTGTCCTGCCTGCCTCGCCTGCCTCGCCTGCGAGTTGCGTCCACCTAGGCCGCAATAAAGGGAAAGCGACAGATAAAAAGAAAAGAAAAGAAAGAAAGACCAAACAAGTGACTGGTCCGTAGAGGCAGTGAGAGATTAGTTGGTACCAAGGATCAACCTGTGCGTACCCAAAATGAAATGCCCTTTGATTCCCATCCAGTTCCGCCGTTCCCGTATAAACTTCAGGTCCTGATTGATGGGTAGATACGCCGCGTTTTAGCATATTTGTGTCAGATACCATCACTGGCGTCTGTGAAAAAAGCAGCCATCACCAAGCTAGTCCAGCTGGCCCATTCCTGCTAGCGAGTAGATCGACTCAAAGTTGCCCCTGTGCAGCGGCTTGTCTGATAAGTCCCTTTGCGTGTTAGGCAAATTTCCTTTTTTCTTGCCTTTTGGGACGTTCTTTCAAGTGCCACCTTCTCCATATTCAGGATGTAATCGAGCTCAGGGGGACCTTTAATATGGGTTTCAAGTCAGAATGAGGCAGTTCTAGTAGAAGGGGTGTGAGTAATGATCGCATTTTAGGCAAAGACTGGTGGGAGTAGGTAAGTGGTGTTCGTACAGGAGTAACTGGACTGGGACTCACTCATAACGCTCTGCGTTTGAGCATTCTCAAACTTCAGGGAGGAATTGACTTTCGTCTCGTGGTAGACACATAACCCACCCGCCACAAACTCTTCGTACTTGGATTGTCTTTCTGGTGTAGATGGAAATGTTCCCCGTCGCCAAAGCTCCTCAGGAGGAAAAGAAGCTTCATTGCTAGCGGGATCCTGGTAGCCCCGAAAGGCGACCCGAACCCGCAGGTCATACTCGGCTTCTTCCTCGAAATCGAGACCCCCGAAGACAAAGAGCAGGGTATCGGGATATCTATCTCCCTCTAGCCCACTAGCGACCTGCGGTCCCCGCAACTGTGCTATCAATTCCCAATCCCCAGTCGTCTTCGTCCAGGTCGCTGCAAACATTGAAACCTCGATGTCCCTCCAGTTCGAAATAGCCTTCGGGCTCACGGTAACAACGGCAACCGCGTCTGGATGCAAGACATTCGCCTTTTTATCCGGGCCAATCAAAGCTGGATTTGGTTTTCTCAACTATTCATCATCTGTAAGCACGGCTGGTTTCATGATTAGATCTGAGATTATCACCTTGATGTTTTCTGGGAAACAGATACGTACAAGTTTGGCCTGGATACAGTAACCCGATGCGCCACAGATATTCGGGTGGGGATCCTCTTCGTGGAAACCCCCTTCTTGGTCCTCTGGGTAATACTGTGACGAACCGTTACAAGCACAGGAGTATTATCGCTGGGATAGAACAATAAATAACAGAGTAGTAGCCGAAAGGTACTAGTAGATTGTGATGGCTATTGCTCGCTCAAGATCCGGTAACAAGAGGCTTAGGGAGGCCTTCTTTTATACCAGCCTTCCTGGACCCGATATACCGGACCCGGGACTTCGGGTCCTCCCTTCGGGTCCTACTTGATTGGTCATCTAGTCTAGCCTACATAGGATTCACTGAATGGATCGTAACAAATACCAGGTAGCCGCGTTTTGGGACGAGCTTGCCATCTTCGAGTGTTGTGTTTAAACGAAGATGTCAAATTGGAATTATGCTGTTGGTGATGCTGCTGGGGTATTTTAAGCAGACATGATCACCTCTTATGAAGAAATCCTGATCGAGTTCACACATGAGCCCTTCAACCAACAACCGCGAGATGGTTCAACATCGGACCAACAGACTGATGTTGGCTGTAGTGCGGTTATGACATCTTCTTTGATGGACGCGCTTCCGTAGCGTTAGGGTTGTTGCCTTCCGTTACCCAAAAACCAAAGGCCGTTGTGATGTCGAGAAAACACAAGGTTTTGTAGTGGCTGAAGAGACAATTATATGGGCCCGTCATGGATATCTTCGCTTGAAATTGATATAGGCCGGAGAGGGTGTTCCTTACAAGGTTGAGCTGTAGAGCCATGTTCTGCATTCCTCATGGCAACGGTGATGATGCAGCAAAGGCCGGTGTACAACATGGCATTCCTTCCCTAGATACTGCTGCGGGAGCGCGCGGCTTTCAGTCTGTTGGTTGTAGATGTAAAGAGTCAAAAAAAGACTGGTCCCGGGGGGGCCTTTAGACGGAGCCGGTTGATTTGGGCGGTTGGTTTGGGCGGAAAGTTCTGGAGAACAATGGATTCCGAATTGGGTTTAGTCCCACTTTCATCTGTTGGTTGTGAATATAAAACGTTAAAAGACCAGGAGCAGCGGATATTAAGCTATCCTTGTGTGTGCAAAATGACACCTAAAGTGTACGCCAAGCGTTAGCCTACTAACAAAGACAATTGCTCAAAATGAGGACATATACCATGCTCTTCCAAGTTCCCAACTTGAGCTCACGGTTGTCTGTTAGCGCAGTTCCCATATGACCTCATCCTTTGTCAAAAGTTTCCCAACAACGCACGACATGCAATGTGCATCATGAGACCCATTCACTCACGTGAAGCTTGTAGTTGCGGAGGGTTAAGATGTTCCCGGTGACACCGTACTTGATCCGGCCGAGGATGGGGCGCAGCAAGTAAAACTGGTTGCTAGTGTCATCCTCGATGAAAGATTAGTTCTTCCCGTGCAGTACGCATCGACGAGGGCATTCCAGATAGCGGTTCGACTTCTCTTTGATCTGTGATAGTCATGAGTTAGGAGTGACAGCCAAAAGGAATGGGGAATACACACAACAGCCATGATAGGTAGGTGTCACTATCAGTACTCGTACAATCAGAAGAGTCTGTTTTGTTGTCGATGTCGGTGTAGTTGTAATCAAGTTGAAAAAGATCTGGCGCCTGTGTCATTCCCTGCCCCTGACTTCTCAAAATTCCAAATCCCAAATGCTAAATAAGGAAGAAATCTTTCTTCAGCAATCTCCCCGCTCATGATTCTATCACAGTACGCTTCCCCAACCAATGTGTACATGTTCTCCCCTTCTTCCGGCGCCGGTCTGATCACGTATGCGATGTCGTCGCCATGGAAGACAACAACATGATCACCGGGTTGGGCATGCCTTGGTCCCATTCCCAAGTATCCCTTTTCGGTTAGTTATGGACGTTTGTCTTCCATGCGATGCAAGGACGGATAATATGCCGACTGAAAATAAACGCAGCGGACCAATTGTCTGAGTGTCTCGGCGGCAGCGCTGTCATTCGGCCGCCTCAAGCACGCCTTTGATTGCCTAACCACGAGCCGCAATAGGTTTTCAAATCGCACAAACTCCATGATGTCGCGAGACTTCATCACTTCTTGACGATTAATATCTCTGCGTCCAAGGCGGTTCAGGATATTTCCCACAGGCGCACGCCAGAGGGTTCGACTTGTCGAAAGCACGTATGATAGGCCTTTGAAGACTTGCTGAGAGATGTGGACCAAAGCCTTTTGATCGAGGAAAACAGATCAAGATGCATTTGAACTACCTCCATGATGACATTTACGTTTGAAATGTCTTCCGTGTGTGCGATGTATTGAGTGTCCCCAACCTCCTCGATTGCATCGATATAAAAGCCTCGAAGTCCAAGAATCGCAGAGGATGATGTAGAGAGGATTTCTACCTTGGAAAATTTCCCAGCTGGTGAATGCATGTTCTCTTGATATAGGTAGTGATCGTCACCGCAGGATCTCACCAAATGGCCTCTCCAATCGGGAACCCATGTGGGCAGCGGTATCGGTTTGCTGCCATTTTTCTCCATGTACTCGGGACAGATCTTCGGGAATTGCGCACAACGCAGAATGGAGAGAGAAGGGAGGCCTTCAGGGGTAGGAGAAGAACATGAATATCCTCCTCTCAATATCATGGATCTTGCCACCTGCGTCAACCGCACCGAAATGCTCGCCGTAGAAGAGTATTCGGGCACAATGCCTAGCGCATGAGAATCCGATGATATTCCCAGCAGCCCGTAAATTCTATCCAGATAGTATGTTGCAGTCAAGTGTGTCTTGTTGTTAACATAGAGTCGTTCCGCTAACGTAGAGGGTATGGGCGCTCGTGGGGGTGTCCAGGCTCGGCTTTCGAAAATATGGGGTTTGCAATCGATGTGGATAGCCATCTCACGCTGTCGCTCCCAGGAACTCGCCCAGTCATCCATTGCACGTTGGATCTGGGGTAAGGCTGGATGATCATCCTCAGTGTTATAGAACCCATGCGCGTACATGGCAAGGTCCTGCGCGGCTATGACGTGTTCGGCATCGGCGACTTTGTGGCCACACACAAACATTGTGTTGGAACACAGACAGAATTCTTGTATGACCCAAACGCGTGAAAACCAATCCCTTGAGAACCACCGCCCGAGCTTGTCCGGCGAGTAAATTTGCCGCTATATCCCGAGTGCGTCATTGAAGAGTTGGTCAACCTTGTATTCAACTACATTCAGACGTCGCGAAACTCGTTGCCATGTTGGGTCGCATTCTGCTAGTGGGCGGCCAACAGTACGGAGGTACTTCTGACCGATCTGTATCCACGCATCCATAACCTCATCCGAATCATCAGCAGAAGGTCCGAGCCAGACAAGCAGCTGCTTAGCAGAGGTATAGATCACCCTCATGAGCTGGACTTGGTCGGATTTCTCGCTATCGTCAGACTGATTGATACATATCTGATCAATCCATATAGGAAGCGAGTCAAGCTGACCGAGGCTTCGCAAGTGTCTCAGACAAACATCCAAAGATTTCGTTATGGGGAGAAATGAATGGGGGAGGCCGGTAAGGCCGCTTTCTTCGCCTTGTTCTGAATTCTGGCCCCGGTTGCTGGCGGAAGCGGCACCGTTGATGGTGGTGGAATCGCATGCGTAATCGACTATCGTAATTGAACGAGACCTGGCATCAGAGCCCCATGCATACGATAGCGCACTGTATTTCGGACGAAATATCCGACGGAGCTCGCAGATTGGGACAATGTAGAGATGATCACGAGCATCATCCCTGTAATTGGCAGCCGGATGGACTCGCAAGAGGCGGATGAGGGTAGACGGGTTGCTGAGAGATACCGAATCGTAGTTGAACAATCTTTCGCTGGCCGCGCTCATGTTTGCGAGTGTTGCGCCGCTGGGGGATTCTTCGACAAAAGCAGAATATTCAATGGCGAGGGAATTGGTTCAACTGGAGAAGAAGATGAGACGGTCAGTAACAATTCCAGTAACCAGAGATGCAGAGTGTAATACTTCTCACGGGAACATACCTCGGGATACGCCGGATATCGTGTGCTCCGCTTTCGATACTACCCTCCCTTCTTGACTGACTGTGGCCATCAGGCATCAGAACATACAAACAACACTGTCAACGACCAAAAGCTTGAACAAAAGTGCGGTACCCGAACGCTCAAGGGACTTCTCCGGTTGACACGATGCCGATTCTCGGAAATTATAGGGCATAGAAGTTGCTGTTTGGATATGCGCTTGAAACAAAGAACACGTCTCGGGCTCCGTGTAAACTGATGAGTTTCGATGAACCGGTGGTCCGGTGGAGGTTCGCCCGCAGTGGCATTCGGCGTGCCGTACCAGAAGCATTGGGAGACTACGGCCTGATGATCAAAGTAAGGATGTAAAGCTCGCATGAACTTTCGAGTGGACAATGTAATCGTTCCACAACTTTGACGAGTCGTCCGTCATTGGGAGCTTGTACACGAAGTTGGTGCTGGGGTGCTCATACACTTTGCCAACTGAGCCCGTCCCAGTTTTCCTGAAGTTAGGTGGCTGCAACGGGGAAGTTGTCAACGCAATCGATTTGATTGAGGGCACTTGAACAAGGGGCTCCTCTGGTGTTCGATATGTGGACGCAATCATTCAGTGGCGCTGGGCAGACTGCGTAATATAGGATGAAAACATTGCTCGGAGTTCGACAATGTGTGTGGACATTGATGGCTTCGTTCAAGTGATTGGAGGCGAATGTCGAGACGGAAACACTATAACTTGGTACAAATCTTCGTACTGGTGGTGTTTTGGTCGAGAAAGCAACTGCATAGGTAGGTAAGGTATCCCACCTTGGTGTCATGTTTGCTATCGGACGTGGGGGGAGAGTGAAGAAGGATGAGGCTTTGTTGGACTCATGCTGTCAACTGAAGATGGATGAATGCCGGTTCCTATACGTATCAGATGGTTGTTGTTGGGTTCTTCAGTGGCGATGGAGTGCGGACGAAATGGTTTGTCAGAGGAAAAGTACATTGAAAATGTGAGGAGAGGTAGGTGAGGTTTGAATGATTTCTGACGGGCAAGTTCCGAACTCATGACCATGAAGAAAGAAGGTGTAGTTGGCTGAAATGGACCTATCTCGTTGCCCAAGTGGAAGATGTGGTTCCCAGCTTCCTCAGACCAAGTGAGCAGATGGGCTGCAGATAGGCTGTCGCCCATGTTAGGAAAGCGCGAAGGATCAGAGGAAGTGCGGAGGGAAAGAGCTGAGGGCAAGGAGAAAGAAGTGAAAAAGAAGCAGAGAAATCCGAACGGAAGAACACAAAGCAGAAAATTACTGGTAACGCCGGCGGATGAAGTGCATCCCCGAATAAGTCGTATACCAGGAGTTTCATCGCAACAACCCGACAAACTCGGCGATGACTGCTCACATGATATTCACAATTCAAGCAGCCCCAAAACTCATCACATCTACTCGTCAGGTCTAGAAACGACCCAGTCTCACTTGATGTCCCCTTTGGAGTCTAGGTCTTCCTTGGCTTGAGGAGGCTCTTCAGGAGAGTAACTTGTGCCACGGCGATGCTGAGGATCGTGGCGTGCGTGATGTGGCGTTGACTCAGTGTAGCAGAGCTTGGTGCTGATGAACAAAAGGCGTGGCTGGTGTGACGAGCCGGTTTCTAGCCCAGGTGCCCGGTCCTCATTCGACCGCAAGCTCTGTGATGGACATGGACTGGTACGCTCAATGCCTTGGAAACAGCTTCAAGACGAGATCCCAGAACGAGAACAGGTCCGATCTCCCGAAATGTGGGCATTCTCGTCCTGCGGGAGAGCATCTCGAGACTCACAAGTCAATACTTGGACTCGGGTATGTCCATGAAGGTGAAAGAAGTCAGATGCGGGACGGTTGGATTCCCGGGCAGAAAACGTAAGCACTCGTCGACGATGAGGAATTGCGTGCTCCGAGGAAAAAGCAGCACATACCCCCGTGCTCAAGGAGACACCAAGGCCCTAGACCATGTCCAGATGGGATTTACATCTGTCATGTTCAGCTCATGTGCGTCGCGAGCTCGCGGGATGGTCGCCTTCGGGCCGCAACAGCGAGTGCTATCCCCTGGCTGGTCTTGCCTGTCTTGTCTGTCCGCCCTGCTGTCACCACACTTCCGTCGCAGCTACCTTCTTTTCGAGGGCCCAGCACACGCAGAGGAAGCCCCCACGCGGTGGCCAATTTGCTGCCATACCTGGCCTCATATAGGTCGCCAGTCAGACAACACCGTTGCATCTGGGCAAGTAGAAGAGTTTTCGTGAGCTTATGGTCAGTAGTAATAGCAACGCAACAAGCGGAAGGCGACGGGACAAGACCTCACTGTCAGCTCGTCATCTCAACACGAGGGAAAATCTCATCACATCGCAAGATTTTTCGTTGACGCCGAGCTCTTTGTTCTTGCCGCGCGATGATTGATCCTTCCCTTCCCACTGAAGCGCAAATTTTGAAGCCATGGAAGCAAGAGCCCACACGGGATCCAACCAACCTGCTGCCGTGCCTCGGGTTGCGGATGCAAGTGCGGAGAACAAAGAAAGAAGCAAGGCGCGAGCGGGAAGGCCCATCACGCAAGAGGTCCCCTAACTGAGGTGCTCGGTCTGGAGTCCTGGACGCCAATCGTCCGCCCGAACGAGCGATGGTCTGTTGGTCGCAACTCCAGCAAGTGGAAAACATTACAGGTCGTTGCTACTTGCTCACCCGCGCCGCCACTCTGGAAAGAAGCTGGACCCGAACTTGATGATCGAGTACCCGGACGTCGGAGGAATGGGAAGGTGTCATTAACGGTCACCGGAGAAAGGCGCAATATGCCAAGGCAATGTGATTTTCAATGGATTCAAGCGTTTTCAATAGCCGCTTCTCATTGCATCAATTCTGAATGCCTTGCACGTCTCGACGGCGTAACAATGCTTCAGTGTCGATGCGATGCATTGTTGACATTCCACGCTCTCGAGATCCCCATCTTATCAGGGGCAGATGGAGTCGCCTAGCGCACGTACCACATGCGGTCGTTTCAGGCTTTCAGCGCTCCAGCGTCGGAAGCTTGGCATGCGCTCCAAAAAATTCCACTGGTGAGGTTTCTAGACGCTTCCAGCTTTTCGCCATGACGGTAGAGGAGAACCTCGACGACGACGTTTACGAGGTATAATTGCAATGTTCATGAGCTGTTTGACCATCACCGGTTACCTAAATCATTAGGACAATCAATCCTAAAATCCGTTCCCATCTCATTTCATCTCGTCTTATCCTTGAAATCTTGAGACGAACCGAACCCATCAAATCGCCGAAGTCACTACCGAAACAAGGCTAGCACATCACGACGGCTTCTTTTTCTTGTTGCGCACATCCTTGTCCGAGGCCATTCCACTCCCACGCGTCCGCATCTCACACAATCCAACCGCGGCTTTCTCTTTTTCAGAGACCCATTCACCCACAACACCAACGAAAGTCTAGTTGACGGTCTAGACAATTGCTATTTCAGACAGCTAGACGATTTCAGCCCGAACGAATCACCGAATCGAACATCACGGTCGTCTCACTCACGACTGAGGTGTCACTCTTAGTCAGCGGCAACCACTTTCAGCTTGTCATCGCCAGAGGGAGACTATTGAAGTCAAAGCAACGTTCAGTTGGAGAAAAAGACCTAGAACCTCTCAGACGGTTGAGACCCCCACGCTTTTTCGAGCTTGAGGTACCGGTACATTCCAGTCTCAGGTTACCTAGACGCAACCATCCAACAAGCATCCAACCATCGGCCCAATCAACAAGACGTCTCACCACTCTTCCCCTACAGAGTAGTCAACTTCATACACACTAAAAACCAGTCCCATTTTGTGCTGTGCTGTGCTGTGCTGTGCTGTGATGTATAGCCACCTCAGATCAGTAGCAGCGCGCAGAATCACGACTCAACTCTCTCAGTCAACAAGGAGAATCACAACCCAGAAACGTACTCAGATCAGCACCAAGAGGGTACCAGTACCAGTATCTGTCACTCCGACTTGCAGCCAAACATTAAGGCTCATTCACACTTCCAAAACCAGCCTGCAGAACAAGATGGATACTTCATCCAGCACTACCACCAAAGCGGACCCCGCATCGCCCGCACCATCCGCGCCGGCTGCACCAACGGGCTCAAACACTTCAAGCACGTCACCGGGGCCCGGTAGCACCTCACCCATTTCCACTTCTGCCCCAGAGGCTTCCACCACCAACCCTACTCCCACCTCTACCTCTACCACGACCACCGTCACAGACGTCTCAGAGGCTCCCACCACCACAGCCCGACCCAGCCAATTCGGTCCAGAAGTCATCGACGATTCCAACCCACTATCAGACCCCCTCTCCGTTGAATCCCAACGCCTAGCCAACGCCGGTGCACCCCTCCCCCTGCCCTCCCCAGAAACCGCCACCCCCCATCTCCCCAGACCAGGAACAGCCCAAAGTGGTGACAGTGAACGGGCAAGCCGTTGCCTTGGATAACTTGGGTCCAATGGTGGTCCACAAAGACGGAACCATTTCGCGGATCGCGAATTGGCATGGGATGACGGAGATTGAGAAACAGACTACGTTGAGGGTTTTGGGGAAGAGGAATCAATTGCGACTGGGGAATTTGAGGGAGGGTAGGGTTAATGGGGAGGGGATGTAGATAGCATAGTGGACCTAAGTGTATGTGTCTGTGTGAGAGGATGTAGATATGATGAATGTGGATGAGAAGGGGATGTAAATGTAGATGTGGACAGAGTTAGTGCTCGGCTGGGCTGGGAAGGGTGTGAAAACCAGGAATGGGTTGGAGATGAGAGGGTTTATGGAAGAAAATGACAATGGGTTAGGGGAGTTTAAACCCCGATTCAAAACACCAAGGCCTGGTTGTTTGTTCTTGTACGATACTTTGTGTATTTCTCTTGTTTTCGTATGAATGCATGTAAATAATTTAGTTCCATTCCCAATATCAACATGGTATCATATCACGCAATTCAGAGCTAGAGCCAAACCAGAGAGCCAAAAAAGAAAAACCAAACTCTTCCAAATCATCCATTGTATTCTTTCCATAAACTCGTCTCTTCCAGATCTTCGCATGTTTGGGGAGTCCTGTAACCGCCATGTCGGAGTCCTGTAACCGCCATGAATATAGTTATACCGGAGTCCTGTAGCCACCATTGTGATATATCTCAGTCATTCATAGACCGTCACCATCCATCCGTCCGTGTGTCCGTGTGTCCTTCCGTCGATCCGTCCACCCATTTGCATCCCACCAAGGTAGGCGCACGCAATACACCTGAGATGAGGTGCAGCTCAAAAGACGGGATTACCGCTGAGCAGAATGCTGATGAGAATGACCGTGATGGAAAAAAGAGAAGCAGCAGAAACTGCTACCCCTTCCCATCACGAACGACTACAGAACCAGAAAAAGCCAAAAGACAAAAGTAAAGTAAAAAAAAGCAACGCGAAAACGCCCAGTAGAGATGATGAATATCCACTGTTATCCCAAAACCATCTGACCACAAACCCCCTTTTCCTCCACAACTAGATGATCATCGTCACCGGAGAGCTCGGACTTAGTCCTTTCTCCTCTTCTTGTTGGAGTCGACAGATTCGTCAGAACTGGGAGAAGAGGTGGACACGCAGATGGAGCTGTCGACGTTGATCAAAGTCTCATCCCTGGCGCGTTCAGCCTCGGCCCTGTCAGCCTTGGCGGCGGCGCGTTCTTGAGTAACCTGGGCAGCCTGAGCAGAGAGCTCGCGGAACAGCTTGATAATGTCCTCCTTGCCGCCGTGCTTGTCGGTAACGAGGCCCTTGAGCCACTTGTTCTCCGTCTCGAGAGCCTGAATGCGTCCCTCAAGCTGCGTGACCTTCTCTGTCATCTCCTTGGCCGACTTCTCGAGCGCCTGCTCGCGCTGCTTCTTCTTGATGCGGAACCGGGCACTGGCGGCGGTGTTACGCTTGCGCTTGTCTTCCTCGGCGGCGAGGCGAGAGGCCTCCTCGAAGCTCATGACGCGGGCGCCGGGAGTGGGGGGAACGGACATGGCATCGCTAGCCTTGCGCTTATTGCCGCCTAGTTGGGTAGGGTTGGCGAGGACATAGCCAGACTGATGGGAGTGCTGAACATGATGAGGAGCGTGGTGCTGAGAAACCGGAGGGTAGGCGGCTTGCGAGTTGGGCTGAATGGGCTGGAGCTGGCCTAGAGTGTCTGGGTAGGCCGGGATGGTAGGCGAGGCGTAGGTGGTGGTGAAGTCGCCAAAGTTGAAGTCGGCTGAAGACATTGTGCCATGGTCAGCGGAGCCGCTCCATAAAGAATTGCTTGTTTCGCACAACAGGATGACACAATCTGATATAAAGACAGGGAAAGGAAGAGAAGCAAGCCAGGAAGGTCCCCGAACAACAATATCAGAACGCCGTCAACATGGAAAAGGAAGGCGGAGACTGGAGGCTGCGTGGTAGCCAAGAAGGGTTAGGTGGTTGGCATCGGCCATTGTTGATCAACCCTCGTCGATGGTGCAATCCCCCCAAAGTCACGAGAAATGACACCATTCTCGGGGAGCAATGTCATTTGTCAGCCCCATATTAGGCCCTCCCACCCACACACAACCAGAAACATCATTGACAGGTACCTCGACCTCTGAGATGCCGCCATCGACCATTGTCTCCCCAAACTCGCTCCCAATCAAGAAACGGTCCAAGCCATGTGGGCATGGCCGGAAAAGAGTGGGGTGACGAACACATTCCCCGATTCCCGATAAGGGGGAGGATTCTCTTTGGCGAATGCAGCTGACTGCAGCTATTCGAAGTCGTGATGGATAGCCCTGATGATGTTCATCTGCCTCCTTCCCGACAGAGGTCGTCCGGGGTCGTCCGGGTACCACCACCGCCGTCGCATCACTTTTTTCTTCTTCTCTTCCCGGGACACTCGCCCCTTGTGTGCAGCATTCCGCCATGCATCTTCACCGGTACCTCCCATCACAAGGTGTAGGGGTCTTCCAAGGTGGGAAACAAAACAAGGTGAAACAAACTGACAACCGAGGAAACACAAGTATCCAAGACACAACCAAGCCGCAGAGGGACAAAGAGACAGAGACAGACATAAGACTTTGACAAAGTCGCGAAAAAAGATACTAACCTGCAGGAGCAGCGAATTCCAAGCCCTGGTCGAGGCCCGATAGGAAATCGGTCATGAAGGCATCGGTGGGCACGTCGGGCGACGTCGCCGCGGACTCAACGGGAGTAGGAGCGACAACAGTAGCATCGGGCTTGACAGGCGGCGCTTGGTAGTCGGTGTTCTGGCCCGTCTCATAGTCGAAGAAGTTGGTGTTGGTGAAGAGGGCGAGCTCGTCGTCGTTGGGGGTCACAAATTCCTCAACCTGCGGCTCCTGCACATTCAGGTTGCGCAGGTAGCTGGTGAAGTTGATGCGGCTGCCGGCCATTTTGACGGTGTTTTTGTGTGAGTTTTCGTGTTGTCGGTCTGGTGGTATTCTTCAGGTCGCCCTTGATAACCAAGTTCTTCCTTCTCTTTCTAGAGTGTGATGACGGTGTAAACGTCACAACGCTGGCGCGCCTTGCCAGGCGAGTGCTGGAGTAGTGTTGGGGATTATGCAGTCGATTGACCTTCCTTGGTTGTCGTAGTGTGTGTCGTCGAAAAAAACAAGGTAGATTTTGGGAAGGAGAGAACGGCGCCGGGATGGTGAATGTTTAACTGTGTTCGACGGGATGGAAAGCGTGTGAAGAGGCCAACGCAGGGGGAGCGACGGGGGCTCGGGAGCGCTGGAGCTGTGACTGGACGAGCACCACGACGGGGGCGGGGCACTGGAGCCTCTTGGAATGGAGCCTCTCGAGGGCCGGACAACTGGAGTCGAATTGGGACTCGATGGGGTCCGGTTCCAGTCCGGTGATGTTGAGAATGGAGCCTTGGACGAAGCCCTGAACCGCGACTCCTGGTCGAGACAAGTGGATTTGGATATCAAGCGGTCGAATGATTCGGCAGTATGCTCGGAGACCGTTGTTTCCAGCGAGTCAGCGGCGTGGAATTTGACCGGTAGGAACTCGTTGGGTTTTGTTCGCTGGGTCAGGTGTAGGTTCCAACGTTGGTCAGGGTTGGAAACCGGAGGGGGGCCGTCGTCGGAGGAGGGAAATTTGCAAGGTGGTCAACGACGGTGATGAGCACGGAAGTGGAGGGGAGGAGAGAGTTTTGATTGCAAGAAAACACAAATCCCACCCAAATGTCGATTTCAGAAATAGCAACAAGAAAGAATGCTCGCTGTGAGAATGGATGATGTTGACTGCGGTGTTGCTGTTCAGTGAGGGTCCGGTTCTCTGTGTGTGAAGAGGTGTGTGTGCGTGTCTTCGAAGACGGAATGGAACTTGAAAGTGGAAAAGCTGAAGAAGCGAGGAGCGGCCATCGGCCATGATGACTGGTTGGACTCTAGCGGGATGGAGCCGGCGGGGTCTTTCCAATGTGCTATTAGTCAGAGGCCATCCCACGCTCTTTGCGCATGCTAACCCAACAGGGACTTTGCGTGGGCGGTAAATGCTGCAAAGTTGCCCCCCAACATGGAAGTAAAAGAGCAACTGCGCGACCCCTCACAGGAGCAACAATGAACTGGCCTAGCCTAGAGGTGCTGCTTCAGCGGGCAATGACCGCTAACCACCAGCACACAAATTCCCACCACTTTTCATCAACCACCGAATGGGCAGTGGCCTCCCACGCTGTCCGCAACCCTCTCGCTCGCGGTACCGAATGCTACCAAGAAACAAGTGGAAAGACACCAATCACGGCAGAGGACGCCGTGGCTTGCAGGTTTTCATCACAAAGTCGGTTTAGCAACTGTAATCATTGACGTTGAGGATTTCATCTAGGCTGCGCCCTTCATGTCAGGCTCAACAACGACAAAGGGTCTGTCTGACTTTTTGCTTCCTAAGGTATTCAAACCCCGTTTTACTCGCCGTCAGCCTGTCTGTCAGTGTCACCGACGATGTACTTCGTTGGTGTAACTGTTATTGGTCAACGCCCGTCTCGGTGCTTCCTCTTTCAGTTGCGCCGCACGACCGAACGAGACCTCAACTCCGAGGTAAACAAAGAAATAAAACTCCACGTTTCTTTCACCAACTTTAACACTGAAACATCACCAAGAAGCGCCAGGAACGCCTATCGTTCGGTAGTTATAGCCTTGCCGGGCCATCGTCCCGGTCAGGTTCTTTTTCCTTCTTTTCCCTGGCCTCGTCCCCTCATCTCATCACAGCACCAATGACAGCCCCATTGGGCCTGGTGTTCGTCTAAACTCTTGTCAGCACAAGCTTCTGCCTTTTCGGAATTAAAACAGAACAAGATCCGAACTCAGGTCCCGCTAATCCCGTCGTCCAGGCTTCCCATGCTGTTCTTCTGAAGCTCCATTGCGCGCCTAGCACACATTGACAGGCCCTGAAGAAGAGGCCCTGAGGCCGTTGTTAACGACAATGACACCCTAGATCTGCACGACGATGCAGTGGGACCATTTGCGAGTGAGAGCCTCCGATTTCTCACGCGTTCTCTCAAGGGCGGTCCATTCACATGTCACGCTTGCATTATTAATCCAACTGGGGCCAACGCCGTGAACCCTGACGATGCTGGTGTGCACTAACAGAGCTAACTAACGAAGGGACTCCTTGGATGAAATCAATGCCAACACACGGCAGCCAGCACCGGCATCAGTAATCGGAAAACAACATCATGACTCTCCTCACAGTTGTAACATCAAAATGTTGGATTCAGAGAATGTTGCGCAACTAAAAAGTTGACGATTTATCAGCAATAGAAACCGACAGACAGTCCTATCTTCACCCCTATTCCTACTGTATGAGATCACAACCGTCGTGGACGTCGGTGAGATCCGACTTGGACTTCCACTGTGGAAATAACGGTCCGACATCGGCAGCATTCCATAGGCCAGAACCTTTCTTGCTTGAAACTTGGCACTGCGGCCTGGGATAAACTTTCGATGGAGACTTCAGTTCCATTCGGATCGAGGATTGCTGTGGAGTTTCCCTCAGTCTCAGCTCTTCAGGCGGAGTCTGTTTTAGGCTTTGTTTAAGAACATGGAACCGGGCAGGCATCACCGGCTGTAGAAGCTCCATCGGGCCGGAGGAGGACAAAGGAACAGGAAAGGCTTCATGCCGACTCTCTTCCTCTTCCGGCGCCTTTGCGGAGCTGAGATTGTGACGATTGTGGTTGATGCAGACGTGTATACCCAAATCACAAGCCCAATGTCAATCAACCGGGCCACTGAGGCCAAAGAGGAAGATGATCGTGATGCGTTCCTGTCGATGATTTTCGGTTGATTTTCAGTTTGATAATAGCGCTGAGACGGCATGTTCCGTCTCTCTCTTGGCTAACCTTGGCCGGTGGTCGAGACGCACGGCGGAGGGTCCTCCGTACCTGGAGCTGAAAATGAAATTGCCAAGTACTACTTTCTCATCAGTTGCCAACATCTGGGGTCGACAGGGACGATGGAGATGAAGATGGAGATGAGGACGGCGACGAAAGCGGACTCTTGCGGGTCGCTGGCGGGCCAGTGGGACTGTGAATGACTCCACCACCCCGGGGGTACGTACCTGCATTCCGAGCATTGAGACTTGAGCGCACGTACCACCCAACAGTGCGGCTTTGTTAACCGTCGATCCGGAGACGCTTCTTCACGGCGCAAGTGGGGCCAACACGGTAACATCGAGCGGCTCGGCTTGTTGACTTGGACGCGGTCTGGACAACCACCACCCCGAGCATCCACATCCCGTCCCGGTCGGTCGGCCAAGCCCGGTCCCGCAAATCCACCAGGTCCCGCGAATTGCCAAGCATTGAAGGATCGCGACCACTCAACTTCAGGTCATCCCAACCGAAACACGCGACAGTGACACTCGCACAAACCAAACAACACCACAACGAGGAGGGAGGAGGGGCTACCAATCCATGAACCCCAACCCAACAACAACAACATGGCGCCCATCTCCATCCCTACCACCGCGCGACTACCCTCCTCTCTACGCGTCGACCCCTCCAACCCAGCCGTCTTCAAGATCCTCAACCGGCTCTCTCGCGCCTCTCTCCTCACACTTGCACTCGACTGGCTCGACGAGCGCAACCTCGCCCTAGCAGCTCCCTACCTCCGACCACCCTCCTCCTCCGAATACGATGACGAAGAAGACGAAGACGAATATGCCGACGACTTCAACCCGCCCTTGCGCTCCCTCGACGCGCTACAGGAGCTTTATACAAGTCTGCAATCGCGCAAGGGTTCCAAGCGGGAGGTGATTGACAGGATTATCGAGGGAGACTGGCGCCATGGTCTGACGCTGTATCAGCTGGCCATGGCGGATATCCAGTACCTGTATGATCATCCTACGTCTCAAAAGTGGGCGGCTTATCGCATTATGCCTTTGAAGCCGGTGTCTACAAACGACGAGGAGGAAGAACAACAACCACCGGAAATCGACCAAGAATCGCTCGTCATACCAAGATTTCATCCTTCTACGTTCCTAAAGAACCTTCAAGCCCAGGTGCCGCCGGACGTCAAGGCGCATTACAACTTCGACCGCCACCGCACTCTACCTCTGTCAATCTTGCGCATCTTCATCCTCGACTCACCCTACAACACCAGCCTCGGCTTACAATCCGGCTCCTCCTCCTCCAAGGGCACTCGTACTGCCCGTAAATCAACAACAACCTTCGACACCTCCCGCACCGTCTACATCGCCTTCCCCGACGCCTCTCCCTACATCTACATCTCCAAACCACAACTCCTCTCTGGTTCTGCTCCTACCACTGGCACAGGCTCTTCCACAACAGCCGCAGCGAAAGTCACAGGGATCAACACCACAGCCGGCGAAGCCAAATCCCTGCAGCACTTACTGTTAGTCGGCATCCCGGCGGCTTTATCCCGTCCCCGCCAGCGCTTCTGTCTAAAACCAACAAACTTGGCAACGCGCAACCTGAACGAGCTTCTGGACCGTCGCGGCGGGGCGAATACGCGACAGGGAGCGGCAGGTGGGGGGTGGAGTATTTACGCTGATGAGATGCGTGAAAAGGGCAAGGGGAAGAAAGGGAATAGGGAGACGCCGTTGGATACGGTGCTGCCGTCACCTCCGCTTTCGGAAGAGGAGAATGAGGCTGAGGGGGCAGGGAAAGGGAACGGGAAAGGGGAGGGGAATAAGAGGGCTGAACCGCCGCTTTCACTTAGCGCAAAGAGGGAAGAGAGGGAAAGGAAGCGCAGAAGGTTGGTAGCGAAAGCGAGGTTCGCTGATACGGGACTGGTGGGAGACGGGAAGGGTGTGGAGAGGGTGGATATTATTATTGAGGATGAGTTTCCTTCTTCTCCTTCTAACCAACATTCGTCCTCTACTCAACCTTCCTCATCTACTTCTTCCTCGTCCTCGTCTTCTTCTTCCCGAGACAGAGACAGAGACACAGAAAGAGATACCCCCGGTGACAGGGGGTCTAGCTCTTCATCAACAGCAGAGAAGCAAAAGCAGGAAGAATGGCGACCAACCGTCAAACTAACATTCCACGGCTCCCACGTCTTCGCAGGCATCAGACAGCTAGTTGAAGCAGGGATTATCGACGGAGAGAAAATGCCAGGGTGGATGACGGGCGAGGAGGGTGTGACTGTTGGGAAGGTTAGGGAGGGAAGGATTAGGGGGAATAAGGGGAGTGGACTTTGAAGCTCAGAAGAGAGTGACTGACAGAATCAGGATGGAGGATGAATTGAGGCTCAAAATGTCCGGGGGGTCATGGTTACCATGCCAGGCGGAAGGTAAGCTTAAATGATTTAAGGCTGAAGGGATGGACAGGGTTAGGGTTAGTGTTATGGAAAGGGGTTTGTGTTTGTGTTACTTCAGTTATGGGTGTCCGGGTACGGTAGCAGTGGCGTTTGGCGTCTGGACTTCTGGGAAAAGCATGGGTGGTTACACAGGACAAGGCCTGTCTGTCCTCCCTGGGCCACATTAAGTGCGTGAGGTTGTTGTTGTTGTTGTTGTTGTTATTTTTAACGTCTACTTCCCCTCCCGTAGGGCATGAGACGTGCCACATCAGTGAAGCTAGCATACAAAAATAGGAGCAGTGCCCTAACTGACCACCAAACCCTTTAATCCGAGGGCAAACCGAGGCCTATTGCCAGTGTAAATCATGTGTTGCCCATAGCGTAAACGCGGCCCAACACTTATAATCGAATCGCCCAGTGAGCGAGCCGCCAGTATATGACGGGAAGTTAACTGCGTGAAGTTTATCAGCGGAGCATATCTCTACGTCTCATTCCACAGCATGACAGTCATCGATAAGCAGTTGACGTGGTTCTATGTTCTTTCTAATTCAGCAAGATTCTAACCTGGACAACGCCCAACTCCTCTACTACTATATGTCTACTTTCTAACCCCTTTCCCCTTTCCCCTTTCCCCTCATCTCTCCAGCACTCACTCACTCAACCCCAAAAACCTTAATCGTATTCGCCCAAGCAGCCTCACAAACCTCCTCCACCGTGGTCCCCTTGATTTCCGCAACAATAATTGCAATCCGCTCGATGGTGCATGGCTCATTACGTCCCTTGACCATAGCCCCTTCCTCCCACTTTTCCTTTTTGACGACCTTGAACCGCTCGGGGACTTCGGATTCCTTCTTTGCGTTCTTCTTTTGTTGAGGTGGTTGGGGTTGCTTTTTGCGGCGTTCGCGTTTTTGTCCTTGTCCACCTGGGGTGCTGGTACCGCTGGCGTCTGCGGAGGCGGGGGTACCGGTCCCGGACTCGGCTTGGGACTGGGGTTCGGCCTCGTTGCTGTTGAGCGAGACCTCAGCCAGCTTCTTGGCCGCCTGTTCCTCCTCTTTCTGTTTCCTCGCCTCTTCATCAGCCTTAGCCTTGGCTTCCGCATCCTCCCTCTCCTTCTTCTCCCTCACCTCCCTCTCTCGCTGATAGTACTGCACAAGATACTTCCACCCCTCATGCCCCCCTCTAACCTCGCACCAAGGCCCATCCGTCTCCAACATGATTCTATCCAGCCTAATCTCTTTTACGACAGCACAGTTTTCAGCAGTCTTGAACGAGCACCCGTTAACACCGATAAACAGTCCCAGATCCATCAGCTCTTTCATCTCCTCTAGGGTTCCAGTAAAGGAATGCACCACGCCGCCCTTTTCTAGCCTTTCCAGTTTCTCACCGAAAGCTTCCTTGAGACAATCGACGAAATCCCGGTGCGCGGCGCGTGAGTGTAAGAATAGGGGAAGTTGCGGGGTGAGGGAGGCAGCGAGGCGGAGCTGAGCCCGGAAGGAGTGTAGTTGGACTGTGCGGCTGCAGTAATGTAGACGGTCATAGTCAAGCCCGAATTCGCCAAAGGCTATGAGGCCTGCGTCGCGGCTGGTGGTGATGAGGTCCGAGAGGTTGGAGATGAGTTGGGGAGTGCGGACGTGGTCGATTAGTGAGGGGTCTTCGGGTTGAGGGGCTAAGGGGTCGGGGTCGGCAGAGCAGATTGGGATCGGGACGGAGGCTGTGTCTGCTGCTGCTGCTGTTGTTGTTGTTGTTGTTTGTTGTCAGAGAGGTTGCAGTCCATGCTATCTGAGGGTCTTGTCAGTGGAAGTTTGTTTCTTATCGTTCTTGTTCAGAGAGGTTGCAGTCCATGCTATCTGAGGGTCTTGTCAGTGGATGTTTAGGAACAATGCCACGCGAGCCTAGATGCTGGGGCAGCGGATTCGGACTCGGAACCGGATTCGTCATGGTGAAGGTGATGCGAGGTGGAAAAGATGGAAGAGGAGCAGGGGTGGATGCCGGCTGTTGTGTAGATATGTTGCGGGAACTCTTTGGCAATCTTGAGAGCGTCGCGAGAGGACTTGAAGCTGGAGCCGGTGACAATGAGCTTGGTGCAGCCTACGTCGATGGCGCGCTGGACAACGTCGGCCAGGTCATCGGGGTGCCGGGGCTTGCCGTGGTAGTGGCCGCGGAAAATGGGTCGGCGAGGTTGATTCCGATCTTTTTGCCACATGTCAGTGGGTGTGTTGATGGGCGGACATGTTTTGGTATTTGAATCACTCAACGAGCGAGTTGGTTTATTGACTTACATCAACGTATCTGGGTTTATAAGTCGAGGTCTCAGACGAGCCATTGCCCGCAAGGGTAGAGTTGGACGCCATGGCTGTAGATGGTGCAGTGAAGCTGCAGTTGGTACGGCTGCTCAAGATTGGTCTTGTGAGAATGTGCAGACTCGGTCGTGAGACACTCATTCTCATCAATATGTGTTCAGATACTTTCCCTCTGTCTACCCTTACACCTTAAATACTCAAATCGAAACTTTTAGGCCCGGAAACGCACGTCTCCCTTTGACTCATCAGATGAGATGAAAGCGGCAGTGTTGTTGGTCCCCTCTCAATGGCCGACGGAGGTTTGAGGTTGAACATTGGACCTGACAGGGGCCATGCTTGGCTCGCTGCAGCTCATCCGCTCGGACGCTGCAGGGCGCGCATCCATGATTACTTAAGCAGGGCGTTTTCGAGCGGACACAGGCGGGTTTAGAGACAGCGATGGTTGGAGAGTTACGGGGATCCGCGTGGATTTGGGATTCTGCTAGTGTTCAGGCAACAAGGCGCCATGTAAACAAAAGGCTGACACGGCGCTGTGAATATCTGTGAATTTCGAGTCTTGCTGAAAAGCCAGCGTATAAAACCACTGCCAACGACAATTCACAATCCCCCTTTGTCTACGATGATGTAATTAACAAACGCGTCGTCCTGGACGTGTAAAGTGGTTCTAGCGCTGTTAAAAGGTGGGGTGGCAACTGCAGTGTTTTGTTTAACAATGGAGGAACGAGGGGACTTTTGGTGGGGCATCTACCCCCAACCCTGAAGGCCAGATGCGAGCCAAGAACGACAAAAACTGTATCGGCGGGCAGCAAGACGCGTCCACTTGCTCCATGTGCTACAAAATGCACAGCGGGTGACGCGCTTTTGACGGCCCATAGAGGTCCCGCATTGGCACTGGCAGTTTCCATAGTGCCGTGTATGCGTGTGTGCAGCGGTCTTAAAAAAAGAGTGGGCGCCAATCTTGAAAAACCATCGTCTTCCCTTTCTCCTCCTTCGATCCCTTCTCTCCCTCTTTCGTTGCTAACCGTGACTGTCCTTCCTTCTCCCTCTCCTCCATCACATACCTGGCTTCCCAAGACAACTTCAAGATTGCTTGAGTCCACAGACAACACCTCAATTCATCCATCTCTCTCTGTTGTTTTCCTGCTCGTGTCATTTGTCAGCGTTGTCAAATCCTGCAACGACTCAGCAGTAACAGCAGCAGCACTTGAGGTGTTCTTCTGTGTCGTCTTCTTCCATCTTGGTTGTTGTTAGCTGTCTCTTTTCTTGTATCCCCATATTCTCCCCCTTCACACATCAGACATCATGTATGTCAAGAAGCGCGGTATGTTCACCTCCATCCCCTTCCTAGTAACGCCGTCAACACGCTCAATGCTGACCCCTTCTTCACAGATGGCCGCCAAGAGCGCGTCCAGTTCGACAAGATCACAGCTCGTGTTTCGAGGCTCTGTTATGGCCTCGACATGAACCATGTTGATCCCGTAGCCATTACACAAAAGGTCATCTCTGGCGTTTACGGCGGCGTCACCACAGCACAACTAGACGATCTGGTAAGCATCTCCTCCCAACTCCTTCTCGTTCTGGTTACCATTACAAATCGCGAGCTAACACAATCTCTTCCCTAGGCTGCCGAGACTGCTGCCTACATGACCGTCACCCACCCCGACTATGCTATCCTCGCCGCCCGTATCGCCGTGTCCAACCTCCACAAGCAGACTAAGAAGCAATGGTCGCTCGTCATCAACGAACTCTACAACTATGTCAACCCCAAAACCGGCAAACACTCCCCCATGATCGCCAAGGACACATACGAGTGTGTCATGCGCCACAAGGACGAGTTCGATTCCGCCATTGTCTACGACCGCGACTTCAACTACCAATACTTCGGCTTCAAGACCCTCGAACGATCATACCTCTTGAAGCTCGATGGCCAGATTGCCGAGCGTCCCCAGCACATGATCATGCGTGTTGCTGTCGGTATCTGGGGAGACGACGTCGAGCGCGTCATTGAGACCTACAACCTCATGTCTCTCAAGACCTTCACCCACGCTTCTCCCACTCTCTTCAACGCCGGCACTCCTCAGGCCCAGCTCTCTTCGTGCTTCCTGGTCGACATGAAGGAAGACAGCATCGAGGGCATCTACGACACCCTCAAGACCTGCGCTATGATCTCCAAGATGGCTGGCGGTATCGGTCTCAACATTCACCGTATTCGCGCCACTGGCTCCTATATCGCTGGTACCAACGGCACGTCCAACGGTATCGTTCCTATGCTCCGCGTCTTCAACAATACCGCTCGCTACGTTGACCAGGGTGGTAACAAGCGTCCTGGTGCTTTCGCCATCTACCTCGAGCCTTGGCACGCCGATGTCTTCGAGTTCCTCGACCTTCGCAAGAACCACGGTAAGGAGGAGGTGCGCGCTCGCGATCTCTTCCTTGCCCTCTGGATCCCCGATCTTTTCATGAAGCGTATCGAACAGAACGGCACCTGGACTCTCATGTGCCCCCATGAGTGCCCTGGCCTTGCCGATGTCTACGGCGACGAGTTCGAGGCTCTGTACGAGAAGTACGAAAAGGAAGGCAAGGGTCGTAAGACCGTCAAGGCCCAGAAGCTCTGGTATGCCATCCTCGAGGCCCAGACTGAGACCGGCAACCCCTTCATGCTCTACAAGGATGCCTGCAACCGCAAGAGCAACCAGAAGAACCTTGGTACCATCCGCAGCTCCAACCTGTGCACCGAGATTATCGAGTACTCTGCCCCTGATGAGGTTGCCGTTTGCAACCTTGCATCTCTCGCTCTCGCCGCCTTTGTCGACTACGAGAATGCCTCATACGACTTCAAGAAGCTGCACGAGGTCACCCAAGTCGTCGTCCGCAACCTTAACAAGATCATCGACGTCAACCACTACCCCGTCATGGAGGCCCACAACAGCAACATGCGCCACCGTCCTATTGGTGTCGGTGTTCAGGGTCTTGCGGATGCTTTCCTCGCTCTCCGCATGCCCTTCGACTCTCCTGAGGCTCGCAAGCTCAACATCCAGATCTTCGAGACCATCTACCACGCCGCCCTGACTGCCTCTTGCCAGCTCGCCAAGGAGCAGGGCACCTACTCCACCTATGAGGGCTCGCCCGTCTCTCAGGGCATCCTCCAATATGATATGTGGAATGTTACCCCTTCCAACCTCTGGGATTGGGCTGCTCTCAAGGCGGACATCAAGAAGCACGGTGTTCGCAACAGTCTGCTGCTTGCTCCTATGCCCACTGCTTCCACTTCTCAGATTCTTGGCAACAACGAGTGCTTCGAGCCTTATACCTCCAACATCTACCAACGGCGTGTGCTCGCCGGCGAGTTCCAGGTCGTCAACCCTTGGCTTCTCAGGGATCTCGTTGAGATGGGCCTGTGGTCCGATAACATGAAGAACCGCATCATTGCTGAGGGCGGTTCTATCCAGAACATTGCGAGCATCCCCCAGGACATCAAGGCCCTCTACAAGACCGTCTGGGAAATTTCTCAGCGTACCATTGTCCAGATGGCTGCCGACCGTGGTGCCTTCATTGATCAGTCCCAGTCCCTCAACATCCACATGCGCGAGCCCACCATGGGCAAGATTACCAGCATGCATTTCGCCGGCTGGAAGATGGGTCTCAAGACGGGCATGTACTACCTCCGTACTCAGGCTGCCGCTCAGCCCATCCAGTTCACTGTCGACCAGGAAGCTCTCAAGGCCACGGATGACCAAGTGGCTCCGGCCCATTCGGGTCTTAAGAAGCGCGCCCCTCCCGCCGGCACTTATACGTCTATCGTGTTGAGGGAGAACGGTTTGGGTCCCCGCCCGTACGCCCAGACTGGTGCTAGCGGCACCAGCACACCCAACGGCACCAAGGACATTCCCACACCCACCAGCACACCTCCTCCCGCGACTGAAGCTACTGAGGCTACAGAAGCTCTTGTACAGAGTGACAACAGGCCCCGTCCACTAGTATCGCCCGCCAAGAATGCCGGCTTCAAGGCCGATATGCCTGAGCCTGAGAGCCCCAAGGCTCTGGCAACTGAGCCGATTGTCAAGACCGAAGACATTGGCTCCCCATTGCTGGAGAAGAAGGAGGGCCAGACTGAGGATAAGGACGAGGAAAACGAGAAGAGGGAGGGCGATATCTACGCTGATAAGCAGACTAAGAAGACTGGAGAGAGTATCTGGTCTGATGCCCCAATTATGTGTAGGTGACAACAATATCCCCTATGAGACCTCAACACACGCTAACGACTTTCAACAATAGGCTCCATCCAAAACCCTGAGGGCTGCGAAATGTGCAGTGGTTAAACCCACAGCCTTGCTCATCCGGCGGGTTGTATGAGGCTTAAGGCTAAAAGGAAATGTGCAGTGTTATGATGTGGAACGGTATGATCTGTTCAGGGTTAATGATGGGTTTTGTCTTCAGTCAGCAGCACGGATAGGGCATCTTTGTTTTGATTTGACTTGGGTTGGTTTCTGTGGTTGGGATATATCATTTGGGTGTGTTTTTATTTTTCGTTCCATAAACGAGACAACAATACCCACAAAAGCATAAGCGCACTTTTCTCAACTCTGTTAGATACAGAAGAAGAAAAAGGGGGAAAATGAAAGGAAATCAAGAACCGAGTAGTTGCTGTGTAACGATGGGGAAGCATGTATGTATAGTATGGCCTTGGATAAAGGAGACCGTTCTGTTCTTGTGACTGCAAGGTTCATAAACAATATCTTTTTGATACTCATGGTCCATTCTACAGTACCTACCGGACTGGAACATGTCACGAGGTAAAAGCGTGAACTGGCCCGGATAAAAGTGACAGTTGAGTTGCGAGTGGAACAGCTTCAAACACCTTCTAACTATGTTTTTGCTTTATCACGCAGTACCTGTCGAATTCATGTTATCAGGGTAACGAAGTGAAATGGAAACTATGACCCCGATAAAGGAGGCTGTTCAGTCGCAAGCGGAAGACCTTCAAATAACGCCCGCCTTCCAAATGCCTCCTCGGTTCCTCTCACGGCATGAACCGAGTGGTCTTCAACTGAGGTATGAAGCGAGTGATGGAGAAGATGGCTTGAATAAAGTTCCCAACAGTTCAATTCCAAGTGGAAGGACTAGGGCTCTAAATAACGCCTTCCAGACACATAGGTACCATTTTCGGCTCATCACACAGCCGAGTAAGTATGTTAGAGCTGGCAGGTGCACCCCATATCCTGTACGATAGGCTAGGTATATGTAGCCAGTTCAGTACCTACTTCGTGCAACCATGGCCTGCACATCGTACTCTACAGAATACATTACACATTTCCTTCCACAGCTTGCATTTCAGCCATCGCCTTATAATGGTGCCCACACAGCAAAATAGAGTGAACTTTATTATTACGACATGGCTTCCATGGGCTTGATAGTTTGACTTTTCTTTTGGCCTTTCCGGCAGTTCAAGCTGATTCAACACCAGGGGCATCGAACCTCCATCAACATCAGTCTGATTCAGCGCTGTCCACTCCACCAAAAACATCATCGACGACAACCCTCTCCTCCATAATAAGAGTCTGATTCAGTGTGACAAGGGCAGTATTCTG